GTGGCCGCCGAGAAGCCCGCAGCTCCAGTCGCCCGTGAGACCGTTGCGCCAGTCGCCCGTGAGCCCGTTGCGCCAGTCGCCCGTGAGCCAGTTGCTCCAGTCGCCCGTGAGTCCGTTGCTCCTGCCGCTCAGAGTTAGCCGCGGAGCCAGTTACTCCAGTAGCCCGTGTGCCAGTTGCTCCAGTTGCCAGTGTGCCAGTTGCTCCAGTTGCCCGTGTGCCAGTTGCTCCAGTTGCGCCGTGTGCCAGCAGCTTCAGCTGCCGCCCACTACCTCCTCTCCTCTCATAGTCCCTCCTCCTCCACACTTGCCCTTGGTGATAGCCTCTAGCTTTGCTTACATTTGTGAACTTTAAACTGTTGCTTCTTGTACTTGTGCTCAGATTGTGTGGTGACATTGTGATCCACCCTGAGCTTGTTGTGCTGATTACACCCCACTTTGGCTATGGGGGTGTGTCAGAATGTTATGTTTGTCTAGCCTGCAGTGGGGTACTCAATAGTGAGTACAGCCCAATTTAGGGTTTGCTATATGTACTCAACTGCTTGCTAGTGAACCTCCACTCTTCTTCATTCCTCATTATTTCACAAGCCTTAACACTATGCTGCGGGGAGAGAATATGAACTCCTTGGAACGCACGACCCTTTTCAACTCTCCAGAGTGGTTTGCCCAACTTCTCAGGTACCTGAATAATGTCTGAAGGCTTTTTCTTGGCCTCGAAATCTCCCCTGGATTTTTTAAAGGCTTGAAAACCTCGAGAGGGAATATTCTTACTCTCGGGGGTGTTCGGCTGGAGTTTCCCGGTCGGTGCAGAGTCTTGTTTCGCGGAGCCTCCATTTGTCTCGGCGATTTCCCCTATTGCCGGCCGGTCGTGGCGTTTTAAATTCGCGCCATCATGTCCTCCTTTTTTCGCCATCGAGGATGTCGCACTGTTGTTGCCCTGCAGCTCCGCTAGTACCTTCTTCAACTTCCAACACGCCAAGAGTCGATGTCCTGCTGCGCCGCAAAATTCGCACTTCTCATATTTTGTCGGCCGCTGCTTCGCGTCGATCTTGTCCATATCCATCGGGTCGGCGGTCGTGGGTGGTGCCGATCGCTTCGTGCCAAATGATCGGTTCGGCACGTGGCGTCGTGTCTCGGGTTCACATCGCATCAGCGCATCGAATCTCTCTGCGGCACGCACCATATCGCGGTAGCTGGTGTAGTTCGCGGCAATCACCTGTTGGCGGATTTCCATCTTTAGCCCCTCAGTATACGCTTGGACTTTTTCCCCTTCGGTCAGGTTGGTAATTCGGTTGAAGAGGATCTCCATCTGCTACGTGTACTGTGTTACACTTCCGAACTGTTTATGCCGATGAATCTGCTGCCGCGCCATGTAGCTGGAGTTGATTGGTTCGAAACGTTGAATTAAAGCTTCCCGAAACTGCGTCCATGACCCCTCGCCTCGGATCTTAATGCTGTTGTAAATCCACTCGAGCGCCAGGCCTCGTAACAGTGTCGCTGCGAGCCGAATCCGCATTGCATCGTGTGTCGGGGTCGTACAGCCAACGGCCTCGAAGTAAATTTCGAGAGTCGCAATGAATCGACGAACGTCAGTGTCTCTCGCATTCGGATTGAACGTCTCCGGTAGCCTCGGACGTGCCGCCTCAAGATTCACTGTTGCTGCTGCCGCTGCTGCTGGGTGAAGTGTCGGTGTCGCCGCTGCTGCTGCTGACGTCGCTGCTGCATTCGCCGCTGCGCTCGCTGCTGCCGACTGGTTCGCGAGAAGCTCCTCTATTCGCTGGAGTGCCGCTCGCGTCTGTTCCAGGCCGGTGTGTAACTCCGTAATTTTCCGTACGGAATTATCGCCGTTTTCCTCCATTTGGCGATTTATAGGAAGATTTGCGACGAAAATATATGAATTTCAGGCGCTGGTCATCTTACTGTGAGTCGAGTTGACTGCAGAAATGACGAGGGCTTATTCTGTAGGTCGCGTAGTTCTCCCTTAATCGAAATTCGCGTCTGATCTCGGCCGTTGAGAAGAAATTCGATCCGACGCTCCAAATTCCAACGTTTTTGGGCGAAATTCTCGAGGCCGTTGAGATTCGAATCGATCCGACGGTCGAAATTCCAACTTTTTCGCCACTGGACCTGAGGAGTGTTCGAAAACCGGTTCGAGGGGGACGTTAGAAAATAGCGCGGAACTGGTTTACGTACCCGAAATCGGCGCTTCCCGTCGTCGCCCCCGCGGTTTTAAAAGCCAGGTTTTAGCGGTCGAAAAACTTCGCGTCTAAACAGGCTCTGATTACCGAGTGTGAGGATCTAGGATCGAGCTCAGAAAAGAGAATTTGAATTGAATTGAATTGAATGTAACCTGGGTACAACACGAGGCTATATATAGGCTCGACACAAGGCCCAGTAACCAGGTGTTACGCGAAGGTTCCGCGGGTCGCGAAGCGTCCCGAACAGATCCTTCCCGAATTCGGTAGAAGGTAATTCGGTGGCAACCGAAAAGCCAGAATTCGGTGCACGCAACCTAGCTCGGTGCTATAACTATAATAAAATATAGGAAAGCACCTAGCCTAGGAAATCAAGCAATTCATGCATGCAAAAATTATCCTATGCTAGAAATAGCATAATAAAGTAAAGGCAAGCAAGCATAGCTAGCATAAGCCGTCGTACTCTCACAGCCACAGTCAGGCTGCATGCAGAGCGAATGCACGTGAGCACGGGTTTAGTACTAAACATGGAGGACGCAAGGCGACGGGATAGTGTCGAACTCACGTGGTCCGCAGCAGAACGAAAATCACTTGCTTGCCGAGCAAGCCGTCGAGGTGGTGGTTCGCAAAAGCGATCGGCGTGGGACGCGCCATCTCTTCACGCGCACGCGTCGAAGTCTCGATCGACATCTTGGCCAGCTGCTCGGCGGACAGCAGCTCCCTTGAAAACAGGCTGCACGGAAAGCTAATGCACACTCAGCGACAGGTAAACCGAAACATGGCAAACACAAAACGATCGACAGGAAACGTACACAACGCCCGCGTTCATCATCCTCTCATCGAGCTCCGCTTTCGGCGCCTCGCTAACCGCATTCAACTGGTCTTCGAACACCTCCACCTCGATCCCGCTTGCGATTAGCATGAGGCCGCGTCGAACCGTCGGCTCGTTCATGACGGGTACGGAGGCGGGGCCCGTAGCCATGGCGCAGCAACAAAACTAGGAAAAATAAGGAACTAGGGAATAGGGAAGAAAAACTCAGAGACAGCAACAAAATGAGAACGCACTCAGGGTATTAGCTGTTTGCCATCCCCCCCATCGAGACAGACTCGGGTGTAAGGGCGACGAGGCAGGGCGCGTTCTGCGACGGCGGGAGGAGGAGCTTTTCGTAGAGGGCGGCGGAGCCCTATTGGCCTCGACGTGAAAATTGGTGGTTGGTTGCATGAGGTGGGGCGCCTTGCATGCAGCTGAAAGGCCCCTTCCGTGGAGCGGTAGGGGGCGTTCGACACGTCACAAGGGTCGAGCGCCAAACGAAACGGGCCCGTCGAGGGCGAGAGCGGTGGAGCGCGACGCAGATGGGCGTCACTTCCGTTAGCTCACGGAAACTTTCGCGGACGGGTTCCGTCGGCGAGGCGATGCCCGGCGAGGGTTCCGTGGGTTAACGGACGGAACCCGTCAACGAACTGAGAGTGGGGTTTGGTTCGGTTGGGGGGGACCACTGCCAGCCCGAGGGCGCGGATCGCTGGCGTCATCGGCAGCTGGCGCCAGCTGGGGTTGCCCGTTTTCGGGCGGGGCGGGGGGGGGGGGGGGGGGGGGGGGGGGGGGGTCGGCTCCCGCCCCTCGCGTGCGCCGCTAGGCGACTGCGGGAAAAGCGAAATCCCTCCAGGGAAAACCCGCAGGGGCAAAAGCGGGTTCCCGGAGGGATGTGACTGATACACCTAGTCCGCGGTATTTTAACCACCCGAACTTTTTTGTTTCAAACATCCTGAGTGCATTTTAGTTCAATGGAATGGGCACCCAGAGACTTCAAGGCTATTAGAATACACCCAAGAAGTTTTCCGTTTGACAAAACCCACACTTAGTGCTCCGAGATAGGGGGCGCATTGGCATTAACAGAGTTGCAACTTCCGTGATCTCGCGAAGGGTACGCTTAACTATACCCTTATAAAATTTTTAAACTACCCTTGTATTCAATATTGACCATGGAGTAGTACCCCTGCGTGGTTAAGATAGCGGCGGTTAAAATAACGCGGACTAGGTGTATCTTCCCTGAAATAAGAATACGCCCGACATTAACGGTTTCCGATATTGCATTCTTCGAATGAAGGTTTTACTTTCCAGTAGAAGCAGTTGGGTTCACACCACGTGTATGGTGATCGATCACACCCAAAACCCAGTTCCCCATGCCCCGCCATACATACCCATCACTTGTCAGAACAGCTATAGATAGCTGCTAAATTTCTCAGGTTACCGCAAAGCTTTCACAATGCGACTTCTAGCGGGCATGGGCCGTATTCTGCCGAGTGTTAGAGCGGACCTTGAATAGGCGTAATCTAGGAGCGGCAAATGGGGAGTGCATGAAAGCCGCGAACGTAGCGAAAGTCGCGAACGTAGTCGCGAACTTAGGGAGAGTCGCGAGCGTGACGAGAGTAGCGGACGTAGTAGCGAGTGTGCGAGGCTATTCCATCCCACGCACTCTCAAGCCGACCCTGAACCCTGCGAGACTCATTCAAACCCCGCAAAAACCCGTTTGAACCGCACAGACTATACTGAGATAGCAGTCATGGTGGTTTGTAGCTGACCCTGAACCCTGGCCTACACCCCGAGCACTTTGGGCACGTGATCAAGGCCGTTCCCTAACCCTTATTGTTGAGTGAGCAAACCGTGTGTGCACGGTTAAGGTGGGGCAAGCGCGGCATCAGACGGCATGTTTTGAGACGCCTCAAAACTCGCTAGTTCCTAACCCTGATTGTTGAGTGAGCAAACCGTGTGTGTAAGGTTAAGGTGAGGCAACCGCGGCATCAGGCGGCATGGCGGCCGGGCGGGTTGTGAAGGATGAACCTGAGGAGGATGATTGGAGAGCTGGGGAGGGGGGGAGTGAGGAGGAGAGTGAGGAGGGGAGTGAGGAGGAGAGTGAGGGGGAAAGTGAGGAGGAAAATGAGAAGGAGCGTGAGGAGGAAATTGATGAGGAGAATGCGGAGGAGAGCGAGGAGGTGGAGAGGGAGGAGGAGGAGGAGGAAAGTGACGAGGAGACCGAGGAAGAAAATGAGGAGAAGAATGTGGAGGAGAAGAAGATTGTAGAGGAGAAAACTGAGGAAATAATTGAGAAGGATGAAGTGAACGAGGACGAGGAAGGTGAGGAAGAGGGAGAGGAGAAGGAGGGAGAGGAGGAGGAGGAGGAGGGAGAGGGGGAGGAGGGAGAGAGGGAGGAGGGAGAGGAGGAGGAGGGAGACGGGGAGGAGGGAGAGGAGGAGGAGGGAGAGGAGGAGGAGAAGGAAGAGGAGGAGGAGGAAGGGGAGGAGGATAATGAAGAGGAGGAAGATGATGAGGAGAAGGAGGAGGAGGAGAAGGGGGAGGAGAAGGGGGAGGAGAAGGAAGGGGAAGAGGAGGAGGAGGAGGAGGAGGAGGAGGAGGAGGAGGAGGAGGAGGAGGAGGAGGAGGAGGAGGAGGAGGAGGAGGAGGAGGAGGAGGAGGGAGTGGAAGGAGGGCGAGTGGAGGAACAGCAGAAGGATTCACCTCCGTCACAGAAAGGTGTGGCACGGCGAGCGAATTGCTGGGCAAATTCCCTGTTTGAAGGTTCAGGGTTCCGGGTTTCTGGGATTAGGTTCAAATTTCGAAGTTCAAGGTTCTGGGATCAGGCTCAGATTACAAGGTTCAGGGTTTAAAGGCCCTGGTTGCAGGTTCGGGTTCAAGGTTCACAAGCCAGGGCTTGCTACTGTGGGGTTTGGGAGGTGATTTCAGAGTCGACTAAAAACTCACCTGTTATCAGGCTCAGGGTTAAAGATTCACTGTCCCCACCGATTCGTTTCTTTTTTCCTTCCCCGTGTCCCCTTTGTGCAGATCCGAGAAAGAAGAAAGTCCAGCCCCCCGTTTCCAACATGCAGAACTCTCGCACCCTCCTCGCCCTGCGCACTGTTGCGGGGCAGCAGGCGTGGGGAGAGAGGGTGCAGAAAAGAGGGGGAACGGCGCACGAGACGGACGGTTCCAGTCTTCAGCATCCAAAAAGGCTGCTTCTGCTTCAGGAGTTGCAGGCGATGCTGCAGGTGTTGATGGTGGTGATGGTGATGGGCTAGCGGAGGGGAGAGGCAAGAGCGGTGGGGCTAAGATCGCCCGTCGCTCTGACCGTCCCTCTTCTGCTGGTGCTGCTGCTGTTGCTGTTGGTGATACTGTCGCTCCTTCTCCCAGTCCCTTGAAACAGCAGGAGGAGCTGGGGGCAGCAGTTGCAGCAGCTGGAAGGGGAGGGAGAGAAAGAGGGGCAACAGAATCGCAGGAAGAATGCAACCCCAAAAAGAGGAGTCGCCACAGCTTCTGGTAATGCTTCTGGTGTTGCTGCTGGTGGTTCTGGTGCTGGTTCTGCTCGTCGTCGCTCCGCTCCTGCTGCTGCTGCTGATGCAGCAGCAGCAGCAGCAGCTGCATCAACTGCACCCAACACGACTCTCCCGCCCTTCCGGTTCACATCCAATCAAGAGTGGCGGCATTTGGATTACGGCAACGATCTCACCGCCCTCATCGCAGACGGGCGGCGCGGCCGGAGTGCCGCCCGCACGCTGGGCTTCCGGGGCGGCTGCATTCGTCTGCCAGCGGTGCACCGGCAGATGCTGAGGCGGCTTTTAAGGAGGATGATGTTCCGAGGGGAGGTGGAGCAGGCAGCAGGCGTGCTGGCGGCTCTGATGGATGCGGATAAGGACGCTGAAGTCACAAGACGGGCTGTGGATGAACCGATATGGCTCGAGTCTCAGGTAAGGAGAAACCCCTTGCATTGATCACAGGACGGTAGGGCGTGGAGCAGGCAGCAGGGGTGCTGGCCACGTTGATGGATGCGGATAAGGATGCTGAGGTGACCAGGAGGGCTGTTGACGAACCCATTTGGCTGGATGGAATCCCAGGTAAGGGAAAACCAGAGTCCCAAGCCCCAAACCAGAGGCTTGAGTCCAGGTCACTAGCACCAGGTGAGGGAAAGGCAGGAGGTGCAGCAGGCGGCAGGCGTGCTGGCGGCTCTGATGGATGCGGGTAAGGATGCTGAGGTGACTCGGAGCGCTGTACATGAACAGATATGGCTGGAATCCCAGGTAAGGAGGAGCCATCCTGAGCTGGAAACTCTGGTTTGAAGTATGCACCTTGAATCATGTTCGAAGGGCTGCAGTGGTTGACTGGACGCTTAAGCAAAGGAACAACAGTGAAAAAATCAAGTGAAAAAAACGCAGATCTGAAAACCCTTCGCTTCCGAAAAGCCTCCTGAGCTGGAAACACTGGTATGAAGTATGCATGCACATAGACGACTTTTGAGGCGCCTCAAAAGTAAACTCTGGTATGAAGTATGCATGCACATAGACGACTTTTGAGGCGCCTCAAAAGTAAACTCTGGTATTAAGTATGCATGCACATAGCAGGCGTGCTGGCAGCACTGGTGCTGCTGCGATAGTTCTGGCGCAAGGGCTTCAGCAGCTGCAGGGACAGTGCTGCATGTGGGAGGGCAGTCCTGATACTTTTGCCTGTCTGCCTTCCTCTTTTCTTTGATTCCCTCCCCCAGCAAGCGCTCGTTCTGCTGCGAGAGCTGTGGCGCAAGGGCTTCAGCAGCAGAGGCAGTGGGAGCGTTGGTGGTGGTGCTGCTGCTGGTGGTGGTGGTGGTGGTGGTGGCAGCAGCAGCAGCAGCAGTGAGCGGCGGAGGGCAGAGAGGAGGCGACTGGTGGTGTTCATGCGAGCGATAGCTCTCAAGCAAGAGGACGATGTGAGTGGTGATGGGGGGAATATGGCTGCTGGTGCGTATGGGTAGTGTATTATTATGATGATCACGGCTCGGAGAGGAGGCGACTGGTGGTGTTCATGCGGGCGGGATATAGCTCTGAAGCAAGAGGATGACGTGAGTGAAAGAAGCACTGAGCAGGGCTGTGGTGTGTGGGATGGTGTCAGAGGGAAGGGGGAGTAGGCGTGGTGTGCGCGGGTCCTGCAGTGAGAGGAGGCGACTGGTGGTGTTCATGCGGGCGGGCGATAGCTCTCAAGCAAGAGGATGACGTGAGTGCACGGGGCAGGGGCAGTGGAGAGAGTGTGAGTGGTGGAGATTTGTGGTTTCTTCTGTGAAGGGATAGATGGTTTGTGTTCATGCAAGCGATAGCTCTCAAGCAAGAGTATGACGTGAGTGGTGACAGGGGGAGGGTTGGTGCGGTGTGCGTGGGTGGAAGTTATAGGATGAATATTGCTTTGAGAGGAGAAGATGGGTGGTGTTCATGCAAGCGAAAGCTCTCAAGAAGGAGGTGTAGAAGAAGGAGGGGAGTAGGTGGTGTGTGTGGGTGGTGTAAGAGAGGTGATGCATGCAATTATGAGGAGCTGGGTTGTGGTTTGAAGGGGGAAAGCTTGGTTCTGATATAAGGTCCAGGTAGGTACCACTCTCTCAACCTCCCTCTCAATTCACCTTCGTCAACCTCCCTATCACATGCCATTTCCAACGCTCCCCCTTGCCCTCTCAACCTCCCTCAGAGGCGCAAGTGCCAGATGAAGGAGACAAACGAATTCGCTTTCATGCTACCTTGCTGTCAACCTTCCTCAACCTCCTTGCACCTCCCTCAACTTCCCTCAACTTCCCTCGACTTTCCTCAACTTCCCTCAACTTCCCTCGACTTCCCTCAACTTCCCTCAACTTCCCTCAACTTCCCTCAACTTCCCTCAACTTCCCTCAACTTCCCTCAACTTCCCTCAACTTCCCTCAACTTCCCTCAACTTCCCTCAACTTCCCTCGACTTCCCTCAACTTCCCTCAACTTCCCTCAACTTCCCTCGACTTCCCTCGACTTCCCTCAACTTCCCTCAACTTCCCTCAACTTCCCTCGACTTCCCTCAACTTCCCTCGACTTCCCTCAACTTCCCTCAACTTCCCTCAACTTCCCTCGACTTCCCTCGACTTCCCTCAACTTCCCTCAACTTCCCTCAACTTCCCTCGACTTCCCTCAACTTCCCTCGACTTCCCTCGACTTCCCTCAACTTCCCTCAACTTCCCTCAACTTCCCTCCACTTCCCTCGACTTCCCTCAACTTCCCTCCACTTCCCTCGACTTCCCTCAACTTCCCTCAACTTCCCTCAACTTCCCTCAACTTCCCTCCACTTCCCTCGACTTCCCTCAACTTCCCTCCACTTCCCTCAACTTCCCTCAACTTCCCTCAACTTCCCTCAACTTCCCTCGACTTCCCTCGACTTCCCTCGACTTCCCTCAACTTCCCTCCACTTCCCTCGACTTCCCTCAACTTCCCTCGACTTCCCTCAACTTCCCTCAACTTCCCTCGACTTCCCTCAACTTCCCTCGACTTCCCTCAACTTCCCTCGACTTCCCTCAACTTCCCTCAACCTTCCTTACCTCCCTACCACATGCCGTACCGTTTTCCCCGATCAAACGCGCAAGGGGCAGGTGCTGCTGGACCTAGCCAAGTGTCAGATGGAGACTAACGAGTTCGTGCCCATGCTGGCCTCCCCTCGAACCTCCCTCCACCTTACTCAACCACTCCACAACCCCTCCCTGTTCTCGCACATCTCAAACGCGCAAGCGGCAGGTGCTGCTGGACCTAGCCAAGTGTCACAAGGAGACCAACGAGTTTGTGTCGGTGCTGCCTTACCCTCAACCTCTCTCAACCTCCGTTCCTACCATTCGTCACACAAAGAAGACGAACTCCCTTTCCCTCCAACCTCGCTCAACCTCACTCCACCACTCCACAACCCCTTTCTGCTCCGGGCAGATGCTGTAGAGTGCCACATGGAGACCAATGTGTTTGTTTCAGTGCTCCCTCAACCTCCCTCAACCTCCCTCAACCTCCCTCAACCTCGCTCAACCTCGCTCGCTACCACGTGTCATGCCTTTCCCTCTCCCACACCTCAGAGGCGCAAGGGGCAGATGCTGCTAGATCCAGCCAAGTGCCACATGGGCACCAGCGAGTTCGATGCTGCCTTCTCTTCGAACCTCCCTCAACCTCACTCAACCACTCCATAACCCGTCCATGTTCCCCGTATCAGATGCGCAAGGAGCACATGCTGCTGGATCTAGCCAAGTGCCAGATGGAGACCAGCGAGTTCGATGCTGCCTTTTCCTCAAACCACTCTCAATCACTCCACAACCCCCCCCTCCCTTCCTTATCAGAGGCGCAAGGAGCAGATGCTGCTGGACCTCGCCAAGTGCCAGATGGAGACCAGCGAGTTCGATGCTGCGTTCCAATCAACCTCTCTCAACCTCCCTCAACCTCTCTCCTTACCACGTGCCATACTCCTTGTTCCCCCCCTATCAGAGGCGCAAGGGGCAGATGCTACTAGACCTAGCCAAGTGCCAAATGGAGACCAACGAGTTCGACGCTGCCTTCCAAACGCTGCAAACGTGAGCTCCCTTCCATTTCCAAGGTGCTTATACAAATCCTCGAAAACCCTGCGTTAGGAGATGATTCGGCATTTGGTTAGGGGAATATGGATGCTATGCTGGTGGGACCGGAGGCCCTGGTCTGGTCAGTCAGTCAGTCCTCTCGATCTTCAGACATAATTCTGAGGGAGCAGCAGTCTGGTGCTAGGGGAATAGTACTCGCTGTGTCTTACAACCTCTGGGCCTCGCTGTGTTACGGGAATATGGATGCTATGCTGGGACCGGAGGCCCTGGTCTGGTCAGTCCTTCCCTTTAATAGTGCTCCCCCGTCCCCCACTCATCTGTGCTCATGAAGAAGGGCAGCAGTAGGCAAGGTCGCCTTTAGCAAAGGGATGATAGTCAACCAGTGAAAAAGGTAACCCTCGAAAAAATTGATTAAGATCCGAACGTACAACTCAGTTCAAACTCTAGACGAAAGCAAACATGTTTCGGCTTTGCACGGGGATCATACCCGCTAGGCCTTCATCAGTGCAAGAGTTCAAAGTGAAAGAGCGAACAAGCAAGGGGTCTTAAAGAACACCCAAGCCTCGAGATCTACACAGGGAAATCCTACCCCGGGCGCGTAACTAGATAAGAAATGCGCCAACTAGACACAAAAGAAAATTCCTAGGTGTCCAGTCACTCTTCGGGTTTGTCTTCGGCAGTCTTGGAATTGGGTGGTGGTAACCTCGCGCGAACCAGGCACTGTTGCACGTTACGTGCACACTTCCAAGCAACAAGAATTCGATCAATATAAAAATTGCGGGTAGAGAGACGACTTTTGAGGCGCCTCAAAAGTACCCCTAATTTGAGACGGGCAGTCACAGGTGTGAAAACCGTCTTCAAAACTAGGGGCCCGCGTGATGAAGTTGAATCCTGTTGCTTGAGTAAGTGTCGCGCCGAGGTCTGCTCGAGAAGATCACCGCGTTGTAGAAAGACGACGCTCCCGAAGATGGGGCGAAGGAAATCCGGAGGGTAACCACGTGCACGAAGCCTGTGGAAGAAATCATGCTTCGTTGCGAGGAAGGCCGAGGCTGATGACGAGCGGAGTAGATACCGCTTCAATTCGGCCTGGATGAACCCAACCTTGCAGTGACGTGGGTGGTATGATGAGAATGGGAGGTAGAGATACCGGTTCATAGGTTTCTGGAAGGTCCGGAAATCCAAGGTACCGCAGGCAGCGAACCGGTCCCCCTTGTAGAGGACCATGTCGAGGAAATCCACTGACTGTTCCGAGACATGCCACGTAAGCTTGATATTCGGGTCGAGGCTGTTGAACGTGTTGAAGTACCGTTCCAGCTCATCTCTGGTTCCAGGCCAGACAATGAACCCATCGTCGATGTATCTGACGTGTCGAAGCGGCTGCGTCCCGGTCCACCTCTGCTTCAGCACCTCGTCCAGTCGGCTCATGAAAAGTACCGCAAAGCAGACCGCCACGGGAGTTCCCATGGCGGTCCCTTGAATCTGGCGGTAGATGTTGCCATTGAACTCCACGTAGGAATTCAACATGACCCACTCCAGCAGGGCCATGACCGGGAAGGCCTGACACGAGTTCTCCCTCTGCAGAAAGTCGCTGACCGTATCAAGACCGCGCCGAAGTGGAATACTGGGGTACAGCGCGGTGACATCATACGTCGCCAGAAGCACATTTCGGGGAAGAGTAGTGCGTTCCAGCTCAAGTAGCAGCGAGAGGGAGTCGCGAAGGTAGGAAGGTTGTTTAAGAACCAGCGGCCGCAGTTCAGCATCCAACCAAGTGCTGACGTTAGTAGTGACCCACGAATGCGAAGCAGCGATCGGACGCCCCGCCAGGGTTTTTTTATGCAGCTTCGGTAGGATGTAAAATGCCGCTGGTTTCCAGCCCCCGCTAGGTTGATGTAAGAAATACCTCCATAGACTATCTGGAAGAGCAGGGCCCCATGCCACCTGAAGTGTGCGCAGTTGCTGGAAGACAGAATCTGTGGGATTGGAGAAGACTGGTTCGCAGGTGCTCCGGTCGTCGAGATGATCCAGACACAGCCTGACGTAGTGCTCCCTGTCTAACACCGTCACCCCCAAGTTCTTATCCGCCGGTTTAATCACCACGCTGCGGTCGGCTGCAATGGAACGCAGAGCCTGGGCGACGCCGAACGAGATGTTCCGAACACGCCTCGGTCTGTTAGCTTTCAACAGGACAGAAAGGTCAGAAACCGTTTCTTTGAAAACCTGCTCTGGAATCGGATTCACATCAGGGACCCAACCGGGATTCCGTACACGAAAACGCGAACCCGCCGCTGAACCACCTGACTCATTGAAGAAAAGTGAAGGGAAACCTGTCGGAGTAGCTGATCGAGTTCCACTCCGGAGGAAAGGGATCTGGCGGGCGTTGGTATGAACTTCAGACCCAACCCAAGCGCCGTCTTCTCGTCAGGAGACAAGATTCTGGTGCTCAGGTTGTGTACTCCCTGGTTCAGTATGCGCTACGTCGCCTGCCGATACGTCATGCGACCGAACCAGCGGAGAGCCAAATCATGGCTCGTTACTTGTTGCGCGGCCCTTTTCCGGGGCCGCCTCCGCCGTTTTTTGGACCCTTGGCGCTGGATTTGTCGTTGTTGTTGGCGCCTTTCCCCTGCTGTCCGTCGTCACCGTTGGAGTTCTGCGTTTTCGGCTTCTTAGCTCCGCGCTTCCTTCTCGGCTTCGAAGGCGCATCGTTCTTCTCCTTCTTAGCCTTGGAGTCCGCGTTGGAGGCTGTCGTAGGTTCCTGTTCACCCAGAGAGAGCTCCTTCTCGAACTTCTTCGATAGCTTGGCTTCAACACTCGCTGTGATCTCCCTGCGAAGCTGATCCGCCATCTTCTTAGTGTGGTTCTTCAGGATCTCCTCCATCGACAGCTCTGTATCCATCTCCTTCAGTTCCTCCGCGGCAGCGGCTTTCTTCAAGTCCTCAGCGGCCTGCTTTCGCTGTCGATCCAGTTCTCGGATGACGATCTCATCCTTAGCAGCAGCAATCTCAGAGTTAACCTTTTCGATGCAGCGTCCCTTCAAGCGACGAAATCGCTCCTTGGCGGCGTCAGACACCACCAGCTCTGGGTCGGCGGAAAGGCTTTGTATGTACTCCTCGAGCTTTGTTGCCAAAACCGTGACATGCGAGTTGCTCGCTGCCAGAATTTCCTCGACCTCCGCTTCTTTAGACGAAATGAAATCCGCCTGGAGACGTTTCTGGTTCTCCAGATGCGTTGCTGCGACGAGCCCTGCAGATTTCTCCTTGATGGTGGCGTACTTTGTCTGGAACTCCACCGCCTTCGTGCGGATACTGTGAAGTATCTCGCCCTTGTCGTTGAGCTCCTTCATCTTTTTCAGTTTCGCCTTCGCCTTCAGATATGACTTGTAGTCGTCCCGAAAGCCCTTAACTGCAGACAGCGACCATCCCTTGAACGGCTCAGGGATTGGAGTAACGTCAGCAGTAGCTTCCGTCGCGAACGCGCACGAACGACCCGCCGAGCCAGCAGCGGGAAGAATTTCTGGTTGCTTCTCAATGAAACGATCATCGCGGACCAGTGGCAAGGGAGGGAACGTAGAACCCGCAACGCGATACTGCTTCTCAGCAGAAAAACCCAGGCGGCCAGACGAACCCCCTCCGCGAGATGAATTCTTAGAGTGACGTCCCTTCATACCGGCCTCTTCTTCCGAAAGAAACTTTTCAAAGTCCCACGGATCTGTGCTCATGAAGAAGGGCAGCAGTAGGCAAGGTCGCCTTTAGCAAAGGGATGATAGTCAACCAGTGAAAAAAGTAACCCTCGAAAAAATTGATTAAGATCCGAACGTACAACTCAGTTCAAACTCTAGACGAAAGCAAACATGTTTCGGCTTTGCACGGGGATCATACCCGCTAGGCCTTCATCAGTGCAAGAGTTCAAAGTGAAAGAGCGAACAAGCAAGGGGTCTTAAAGAACACCCAAGCCTCGAGATCTACACAGGGAAATCCTACCCCGGGCGCGTAACTAGATAAGAAATGCGCCAACTAGACACAAAAGAAAATTCCTAGGTGTCCAGTCACTCTTCGGGTTTGTCTTCGGCAGTCTTGGAATTGGGTGGTGGTAACCTCGCGCGAACCAGGCACTGTTGCACGTTACGTGCACACTTCCAAGCAACAAGAATTCGATCAATATAAAAATTGCGGGTAGAGAGACGACTTTTGAGGCGCCTCAAAAGTCCCCCACTCCCTCTGTCTGTGCAGTGTGGTGAACCTAGAGGTAACCCTCAACTTTAACATTTTTAGTGTAGTTTGCAGTTTGTGCGGGTTGGGTATTACCAACATCCCAACCAACCTCACCCAAATGTGATCAACCGAAATCTCCAACCCACCAATTGGAGATTTCACCCGGTCTCATTGGGGTTGGAATTGCCCCCGATTCGCCACCCATCCATCTCTTGTCCATTTCCGATGTACTTAAGTTAAGGGACTTGATCTCATGAGTCATGACCTGCACTCCCACTGGCTCTCCCGTTCTTGCTTCCCTGCCACTCCCCCTGTCCGTGCAGGGTGGTCAACCTCCCCCCCTATCGCTCCGACCCCTCTCCTCTCCTCTTCTGCGCGCTCATCCAGTACTCCCACTGGCTCTCTGCCGCCCAGAAGGACCTCCTGCAGCTGCCCTCCACCTCGCATACCCACCACGGCTTCAATATAGACATGGATGGAATGGATGATGGGGAGATGGACGATCATGGGCGGATGGATGGAGCGACGGATGGGGGCATGCATGGGGATATGGATGTGGATATGGGTGATGGGGATTGTGATGGTGATGGTGATCGTGGCGCTGACGTGGAGGTTCCTGAGCTGGCGCTGCTGGACCAATGGGAGAGGAGGAAGAGGAGGAGGGAGCAACAGGAGGGTGGGTCAAAGGGGAGTAGTTTCGGAGGGGGAAGGGGCAAGAGGCGAGGGTACATTAGGGGAATAGGAGGAAGGGAGGAGGACGAAGAAGAAGAAGAGGAGGAGGAGGGGGATGGGTGGATCGAGCAGGAGTTGATGCGTTTTGGTGGTTACGACGATAACGACGGCGGTTGTTACGCCGTTACAGGCTCGAATATCACTGAAATGGCATCGGAAGGAGAGGCATACACTGCTGGTTTCTGGAATCTTTCTAGTGGAGAACCCTTTTCCCCCCAACTTCCCCCCCATCCTCCTCCAAGGCCTCTGCCCCTCAACCCTCCCTTCGTGCTAGACTGTACTTTAGAGGAAGCGTGGGAAGCAAGCAGAGAGGAGGCAAGCAGTGGGGTTCTGGCTGCGAGCCTGTGTAAGGCGTTTGGGAAGGGGGTGAAGGTGATGGCAGGGGGGAGAGAGCGAGGCAGGGGGGATGGGGAGGAGGATGGGGAGGAGGAGGAGGAAGAGGGGGAGGAGGAGGTGGAAGGGGAGGGAGAAGAGGAGGAGGATGGGGGAGGAGGGGGGAGAGGAGGAAGGAGGGTGGTGGAGGAGACGTTTGCTTGGAGAGTGTGGAAGAAGGGAGGGGGGGAGGGCGGAAGAATGGGTGGAGTGAGGGAGGCAATGGAGGGGAGTGGTGGCTGGATGGGAGGAGGAGGGGGAAGGAGAGAAGCAGGAGGGGGAGGAAAGGCTCCAAGATACGTTGTGCCATGGAAATATGGTGCGTGTCGGGACTTTTTCTCGAGTCATGTCTCTTGCCGTTTTGTGTGGCCCACTTGTTTCCGTCCCTCCCCTCTTGCTGTCCGTCCCTCTCCTTCCACCCACTCCCTCGCTTTGTTGCACCCTCTATTTTCTCCCTTCACACAGTTATGATTCGTGTCTCTGTCACCGTTTCTATCTCTCTGCATCCACCACCGTTTTCTATCTGCTCGTCCTCGATACCTCTCACCCCCCTTCCTTTCCCCTTTTCCCCCATCCCCCTGCACTTCTCTTTCTCCCTCATTTTTTTCCGTTCTCACACCGTCTCGTCTTTTTCTCTTATCCTCTCCATCCCTCCTTCCCTCCACTTCCCCCCACCCCCACAAAGCAGATCTTGACCCGCTCATCTGCCCCCTCATCCTCCCACCTCCTCCCTCCCCCTCCACCCCATTCCGCCTGCCTCCTCTCTCCCGTCGCTCCCTCGAGCTATCCCGGGAAGCGGCTTCTTTCCTCCTGCGCACACTGCAAGCCGACCCCCTCTGCATCCCGGCCTTAGTGCCACTAGTGCAGGTGAGCTTCTTCCTACCTCCCCCGCCACCCCATTCCGCCTGCCTCCTCTCTCTCGCCGCTCCCTTGCTCTCTCGCAAGGTAGCATCCTTCCTCCTGCACACACTGCAAGCCGACCCCCTCTGCATCCCAGCCTTAGTGCCTCTAGTGCAGGTAAGCTCCTCCTATGTCCCATTCTCCCCACCTACCCTACCACGCCGCACTCCGCCTCCCTCAAGCTCTCGGGGGACGTGTTTTGAGTCGAGTCTCCGGGGAAGCAGCATCCGCACACTGCAAGCCGATCCCCTTTGCATCCCATCCCTCGTGCCTCTAGTTCAGGTAAGCTTCTCCCTGAACCCCATCCCTCTTCTCCTCCACCCCACCCCATTCCGCCTGCCTCCTCTCTCCCGTTGCTCCCTCGAGCTCTTCCAAGAGTCTGCCTCCTTCCTCCTGCGCACACTGCAAGCCGATCCCCTCTGCATCCCGGCTCTAGTGCCCCTCGTTCACCTGCATGCCTCTAGAGCAGATATGCCCCAACTGTACCCCATTTCCTGCCTTGCACTTATCCCTTCTTCTCCGTTTTTCCTTCCAACCCCATTTCCTGCCTTGCAGATTCGCGTACCTCAGGGTTACAGAGGAGTGAGAGCGGCTCTTGACATCCTTCTCCTCTCCTGCATCCTCCTGATCTCACTTATCTTTCCCCTCCCCTCCTCTCTCCTCGCCCTCTTCTCTCACTCCCTCTCTGCAGATTCTCGTGGCCCAGGGCCCCAGAGGAGTGGGAGTGGCCCTTGACATTCTTCACCGCTCGTGCCTGCCTGCCCTGTCACTGATATCTCACTGTCTCTCGCCCCACTCCCTTGCTGCTGATTCTCGTATCCGTCCCTTTCTTTCTGACACAGATTCTTGCGGCCCAGGGCACCAGAGGAGTGAGAGTGGCTCTGGACATTCTGCACCGCTCGTGCCTGCCTGCTGTTGCACGCTCCATCCATCCATTCAGGTACTACTCAGGGCTTAGTCCTGCACTCAGGGCATGGTTTAGTGCGGAACTTATGGCTAAGTTGGTAACTTCAGTAACCTTTTTCAGTATTTCAAATGCCTAAATGACCACTTGTATTATTTTACCTTCCACATTAAAAATGAAAATAAAAAAGGGTCGTATAGTATTTCTCACTCTTCTTCCTCCGTCCTCTCCCCCTGTCATGTAATTTTCTTCCCATATGCCTCTTTCCCTTCCCTCTGCCTTGCTGCTTTCCTTCCTGTGCGCTTATCCATCTTCCCCCTTCCTCCCTGCTCTCCGGATCCGCGCCTTGCTGCTTGAGTGCGTGCAGCTTCAGGACTCTCGAACTTCCACATGTGCATTCCACCCACTCCCTTCCCTTCCCCTGCGCATGTGTTTTTTTCCCTCCCATGTGCGTCGTCCCTTTCCTCTTACTGTCTCTCTCTCCCTCCCTGCTCTCCGGATCCGCGCCTTGCTGCTACAGTGCGTCCAACTTCAGGAATCCCCCCTACCCCCATCCTCCTCTCACTCCCTCACTCACTCTCTCACTCACTCCCTCACTCTACTGCAATGTCATTTGGAGGTCCTTCGGCTGATGCCCTCCTGTGCCCATGCCATGCGAGGCGTGCTGTCTCTGGGTCTACAAGGTGAGAAGCAGGTGGAGGGAGTGAGGGAGGGAGTGAGAGAGAGAGTGAGGGAGGGAGTGGAGGGAGCGAGGGAGGGAGTGAAGGAGAGAGTGGGAGGGTAAGGTCCTTCGGCTGATGCCCTCCTGTGCCCATGCCATGCGAGGCGCGCTGTCTCTGGGGCTAGCAGGTGAGAAGCAGAAGTGGATGAGGGGGAAAGAGAGGGAGGAAGTGGGAGTGGGTGGGAGTGACGGATGCTTTGTAGCAGTTGTTTTCATCCTGTTCCCATGCCATGCGAGGCGTGCTGCCTCTGGGTCTAGCAGGTGATAAGAAGAGGAGTGAGAAGGAGAGTGGGAGAATGGTAGTGAGGGAGTGACAGAAATTAAAGGAGGGAGGGAGGGATGGAGTGAGGGAGGAAGTGGAAGGAGGAGGTGCTTTGGCTGATGCCCTCCTGTGTCCATGCCATGCCTCTCAGTCCATCCCCCTCCCACACCCATCCAACTCCCCTGTGCAGGCACATGTGGCCCGTCTCTCCGCATGGCCATTCTAGCACTGCATCTGAACGCGCTTGCTACCACCAGAGAGTCCCTGCCTGCTTGCCTGGTGGGGTGGGCTGGCTGGGAGGGATGGAGGGAGTCATTGCCACGCTCACATTCGTTCTCTCACCCCCGCCCCCGTCCCATTCCCCTGTGTGCAGGCACGTGCGGCCGTCTCTCTCCTCATGGCCATTCTAGCACTGCATGTGGACGCGCTTGCTGCCACCAGCAGCACCAGAGTCCTTGTTCTCGCCTGCCTGATGGGGGCTGTTACAATCACACCCGTTCACTCACACCCCTTCCCCCTCCACCCTATACAGGCACGTGCGGCCCCTCTCTCCTCATGAGCACGCTGGCAGTGCATCTGGACGCCCTCGGTGCCACCAGCAGCAGTGCACTGGCTGCTTGGTGGGGGCTGGCAGGGAGCATGAAGGCTGTGTGGCTCTCAGCCTTTGCTGGTGCGGCTGGGAGAGGGGCAGCAGTAGGGGCAGCTGTAGTAGGGGAGAGAGATGGGGGAAGGAGAGGGGAAGGTGCAGCGAGAAAAGAAGCAGCAGCGAAGGAAGCGAGGGCCAGGAAAGTGGTGCTGCAGGTGTGGTGGGAGAGGAGGGAGTGGTGGAAAGCGGTGCAGTTCGGCATCGGGCATGTGAAGAGGCAGTTGAGGCTCATTGATCGGCTGCAAGGTGGGTGATGGATGTGTGCAGTGTGAAGGGGATGGGCTCGGTATTGTGAGATGTAACATATGCACACTTGAATCAAGCAGTACGAATGGGAATTCTCTTATACTCTTGGAAAATAATCATTTTTCTTGCACACCTCCCTTTGACACCCGTGCAGAAAGTAGAAGCCACAGCCCTGCAAAGGAGCAGCTTCTAAAGAGGATGAAGGCACTGCTGACGTGGAAAGCCTCAGTTTCACTTCTTCTGTACAGCTCTCACAACAAGAACAGAAGCAATAACAACAGTCATGAAAGCAACAGCAACACTGTCCATAACAGCAATAACTGTAACCCATATGCGGCCACCGTAGAACAGGGCATGCGGAGCTGGCCAGCCTCGTGGCACGAGGAAGTCTATAAGGAGTACAAAGAGATTGCGATGGCCTTGCCTCCCATGCCTCTGTGGCAACCATTGGCAGCAGCTGGGTGGCAGAGGGTGGAACTGGGAGACACATTGCTTCTGGACATGTGAGGGAAAGTGTAATGGATGTACTGGTACCAGTACCGTAATACCCCGGATATAAGCGCACCTGCGCTTATAATAAAACAGTGTTTTTTGGGGGGGTGCGCTTATAATTGAGTCAGATTTATAAGCGCATGCGCTTATATAATAACAAATACAAATTTATAATTCATTGGCACCAAACTGTACATCTCCTTGCGATTTCAATCGAATCAAAGTGGTAGCGAGTTACAATTCAGATTCGAGCGTGAGCGATTTTCTGCCGGCGCACAGGGGCAAATTTACACGTCACTATCAGAAATGCCAGCTCATACTGACTGGACGCGCAGTATGTGAGGTCCTCGAAAGTCAATCGAAGCGAAAATGGTTGTATCCTCACTGCAAAATTTGAAATCGCTACCGTTTTAATCTGGTTTAAATTTTAAAATTATACATGCGCTTATAATAAATCAAGGTTTTACAGGGGGTGCGCTTATAAATGAGGATCGGCCATAAGCGCATTGCTCCAGATACAAGCGCATGCGCTTATAATAGGCCTGCGCTTATATCCGGGGCCATACGGTAATACGGTAAGTGTTACCATTAATTAAGCGTACAGTTGTTGCAAAGAAATCGCCATGGCCTTGCCTCGTCCGTGTGGCAACCATTGAAAGCAGACATCGGGACTGGGTTTTAGGTGTGATCACAATATCACACCTTGTAATGTGACCAAAATGGTTTTAGGCAACTTAAATTCTTCACTCGAAGAATGCAACATCGGGAACAGCTGCATTCGATGTGCAACCATCGTCTGTACTCCTCTTCTGACGCCCGAGCTTTGGTTGTGGTACAAAGCGTCTACGTCGCATTGGATATCGAAACTGGCCTCGTGAAACTGAATTTCAAATGCTGAATAATCCCTGCCTCGTTCAATTCTTCATGAATTGTGCTGTGCTCAAGAGTTTCATCATGTTATGCCAGATTTGACAATAAATGCTGGATAAGTCGAAAAACTCCTACGCGGGTGTGCTTCACACATAGACTACTCTTTCATATGTCGTATTTGCCCTGTGGGGAGCGGAGTCGCTAGTAGCTTAAGGGTCACCAGCCATATTGAAATCATTTCAGCGGTATTCCGGAATGTACTGTGAACATCAGTTTTACACAATGGTGTAGGATACGATGTGGGGTGTACGCTGGTAGCTTGAGGACTAAACGAGCCGCGAACTTCTCGGATCGTGCAGGACCAGCCGTTAGCCTCATTGCCTAATTCGCCCGTTTGAATCTCTGTGCCGGTTTCCGCCGATCGGTGTCGGAGAATGCTTTTCAGAATTCTCATGAGGGTTTTTTAGCATTCCCAAAGGTCCGTGCGTACGTTCTCAGATTGATGGGACCCGCTGGTTGCAATATTGTTGGTGTGTCTTCTCAAAATCGCTCTGAAATTTGTAGAAATACATTCTCCCACTAAAGCAGACCTCCGACTCCTTTTGCTTTCCCTCGTGAGAAGAGAAGATCGATGGCGACTCAAAGCCAAAGAGGGGTTGGCGACGCTGATGCTGGTGCTCCTGCACACGCTAGGGGTACGGGAGAGATGGGAGAAGAGGATTTCTTGAATGCCTCGATAGAGAGTGACTCGGTACTGCTGAGGAGGATGTGGCAGAACGAGAAAGCGGCGCCGGATATTCTTCCGTACGAAACCGAGCTGGTGGAGCGGACTAAAGCGAGGCTAGAAGAGCTGGTAAGTGTGGATATCCATGGATATTCTTGGAAACCATGGAGAGAAAGAGAGAGAGAGAGAGAGAGAGAGAGAGAGAGAGAGAGAGAGAGAGAGAGAGAGAGAGAGAGAGAGAGAGAGAGAGAGAGAGAGAGAGAGAGAGAGAGAGAGAGAGAGAGAGCTGCACATGATGGCAGGGACGTGGATAGGACTGAGCAAGTACCACCTCAGACATTGCGATACCATGTGTGTGTGCAATCGTGCATCGTGCAGGAGGAGATGGTTGACGCGTTGAAGGGGGATGGACGCAAAGCCATGGAGAGGGAGCTTCACATGATGGACGTCGACAGAACCAAGTACCTGCTCAGAGCGTACCTTAGGTGCAGAATACAGAAGGTGAGTGTTGGGGGCGTAGTGGTGGTGAGCTGGTACCTTCATTGGTGCTACTGTGGGAAAGGGAGGTGCATATGATATGATGCACGTCCACAGGACCAAGTATCTCCTCCGAGCATACCTGCGATGCCGGATACCGAAGGCGAGTGGTTGAGTGGGTGCTAGCGTAGCGGTGGCGAGTTGGTATCTTCATTGGTGGTGAGGATAAAGCCTACCACAGCCGGCTGTCAGATGGGGAGCAGCTGCATTTCCCACCTCGTTCATTTACCTCGTTCGTTTGTGCTTCTCTCTCCCTCCTCTCTCCCACCTCCCATGCAGATCGACCGCTTCTTTTTGCACTTTGCTGGTGAGGAGAGCTACCACCGCTGGCTGTCAGATGGAGAGCAGCTGTATTTCACACCTCATTCAACTTTGTTGTTTCTGCTTCTCTCTCCCTCCTCCCTCCCACCTCCCATGCAGATCGACCGATGTTTTCTGCACTTTGCTGGTGAGGAGAGCTACCACCGCTGGCTGTCAGATGGAGAGCAGCTGCATTTCCCACCTCATTCAAGTCTGTTGTTTCTACTACTCTCTCCCTCCTCTCTCCCACCCCAAATGCAGATCGACCGCTTCTTTCTGCACTTTGCTGGCGAGGAGAGCTACCACAGCCGGCTGTCAGATGGAGAGCAGCGTTACTGCGACAGGTACGTGTGCTTGAGTGTGTGTGCTTGCTTGATCTAGTTCTCTTCAACTTTTCGAGAATGCCTCAGCCGGGGCTAACGTGGGGAACAGCGGCAATGTGACAGGTATGCGTGGTTGCTGCTGTGTGCTTTCTCTAGTGCTCTTTTCGAGAATGCCACGGCCGGGGCTAACGTGGGGAATAGCGGTACTGTGACAGGTACGCGCGCTTGCTTGCTTGTGTGTGCCCCATCTATTGCTCTGAGAAGCTGTGAGAGGCGGTCTCCATTGCTCTCACAAGAAACGAGTTTTTGAGACGATTTGAGAAGTCCTCTGATGATCACTTGAGAGCGAAACAGGTGAAGGTGGACAGATGGGCTGTGAAGGCCCTATTTCCATTCCATTAACTCAATAGGTAAGTACTCCTGGGCATTGAAACGAACCCCTTGATTCACATGGGAAGGCTGGTCTGGTCTGGTTGGATGAGGGCGCGTGCGTTTTTTCAACAGCCAGCTTGAGAATCAATGAACTAGTTTCTGTTCGTACATGTCTGTAAATTTGTGACGAGTACGTGTGTGGTTATTAGCGTAGCAAGAGTGTGCGCTTGCTCTTGTGCTCTGGTATACAAAACTGTCAGTGTTGTCGTGCTTTCCCTGTTCTTTTTTTTTTTTTTTTTTTTTTTTTTTTTTCATAGATGCATTGCAACCCATTATCACCCACCCCTCCTGCTCCGCCTCCCCTTCCTGTTTCCTGCAGGCAGGTAGATCTGATTCAGGCGCACCTGGTCAGGGCCGTGCTTGCTCTTGAGGTTCCTCAAACGTCCTCCCCCTCTTCTTCCCCTTAATGATCTGGTGCTTTTAGAATGACCAATTTTTTAACCACCCCCTGCCCGTCCTTCCCCCCTTTCCTTCTTGCTCCAGGAAGGTAGATGTGGTGTAGGCGCATCTGGACAGGACTCCGCTCTCAAATCTACCACTTTTCCCCCCCCCCCCCCTCTTCCCGGCTCACCTGGTTCCTGTCAGGCAGGTAGACCTGGTGCAGGCGCATCTGGACAGGACTGCGCTCCCCGATCAACCCTCTCTACCATCTTCCCTCTCTACCATCTTCCCTCTCTACCATCTTCCCTCTCTACCATCTTCCCTCTCTACCATCTTCCCTCTCTACCATCTTCCCTCTCTACCATCTTTCCTCTCTACCATCTTCCCTCTCTACCATCTTCCCTCTCTACCATCTTCCCTCTCTACCATCTTCTTTCTTCTCTTCTCCAGGCAGGTAGATCTGGTGCAGGCGTGCCTGGACAAGACCGTGTTTCTCGCTTAACTCTCGATCGCCATCTTCTCCCTGTGTCCTCCAGGCAGGTAGATCTGGTGCAGGCGCATCTGGACAGGACTGCACTCACGCGCCTGCCACGCCGCTACCAGTCCATCCTGAAGCAGGCGGACTCGAGCGAAACACCAGATATGAGTGAGTGCTACAATCACAGATGAAGGGTTGATGGATGAAGGGTTTCAGAGTTTGTGAGTGAGCGCTGGATGCAAGGGTTCCTCTGTACTCCCTTGCCTGCCCTGCTACCAGTCCATTCTCAAGCAGGCGTACTGCAGTGAAGCCCCTGAGATGAGTGAGTGGTAGAATCACAGGGCTGTGATTAGGGGCTCATGGACGGAGGGTTAAGAGCTTGTGTGTGAGAGAGCTGGACTTAGGGGTTCTGCTGCGCTCTTGCGCTTGCCACGCTGCTGAAGCAAGCTGTCTCCCGTGAAGCCCCTGATATGAGTGAGTACTAGAATCACAAATTAAGGGTTCATGGATGGAGGGTTAAGAGCTTGTGTGTGAGTGAGCTGGACTTTGGGCCTCTGCTGTGCTCTCGTGCTTGCCACGGCGCTACAGGTCAAATTTCAAGCAGGCAGATCTCGTGTTGTAGAGTTTGAGGGTTTGAGAATTCATGAATGAATGCTGGACTCAGGGTTTCATGGTCTGCACGCTGAAACAGGCGGATTTCAGCTATGCCATGAGTATGAGTAAGTGTTGTTTTGAGTCGACTCAAAACAAGACTCAGGGTTTCATGGTCTGCTTGGTGAAACAGGCACATTTCTGCTATGCCATGAGTATGAGTAAGTTGAGGTTCAGGATTCACCCATCCGTACCAGTCACCTAGAATGTGAATGAGTTATGCAGTTTTCACTTATATGAAAGCTCATTTCCTAGCTTCCAGATTACAAGTGCCTTTGGACTACCCCTGTTTTTCATATTGATAGACCCGGATCTTTTAAGCCAACTTACCCATGTCATTTCCACTGAATACCCCTTATTTGGCAGTCCCCACTCCCGACCTCGACACATCTGTGTTCTGTGTGGCCACTCGTCCTCTGCCGTCTGTTCAGCTGGCCGAGCTACCCTTGATTTCCAAACCACACTACCGTCTCTTCCCAACCGATTAATCCCTCTTTGGCAGTTCCCACTCCCGACCTTGACACTTTCGTGTTCTGTGTGGCCACTCACTCGCCCCCTGCCGTCTGTCAGCTGTCCAAACCCTTGATTTCCAAACCACATTACCCATCTCTTTCTAACTGGATGACCCCCTCCTCTGCAGTCCCCACTCCCGACCTTGACACTTTTGTGTTCTGTGTGGCCACTCGCCCTCTGCCGTCTGTCCAGCTGTCCAAACCACCCTTGATATCCAAACCACATTACCCATCTCTTTCTAACTGGATGGCCCCCTCCTCTGCAGTCCCCACTCCCGACCTCGACACTTTTGTGTTCTGTGTGGCCACTCGCCCTCTGCCGTCTGTCCAGCTGGACCCCGAGTGAGTAATACAGAGGTTTAACAGGTTGTGACTTATTACGGCTGTGTTTGGTTCACATCTTGTGTTCTGTGTGGCCACTCGCCCTCTGCTGTCTGTTCAGCTGGACCCAGAGTGAGTGCAACCAGGGGTAACAGGTTGTGACTTATTACCGCTGGGACATTAGTGTTCTGTTCACGTCTTGTGTTCTGAGTGGCCACCAGTCCCCTACCATCTGTTGAGCTGGACCCAGTGAGTATTACTGAGGAGTAACTGGTTCAAGAGATCAAACAGCTTTTGAGAATTTTCGGAATCGAATAACAGGGAAGGCAGGCAAAACATCACGCATTTGAGCCGTTGATATGTTTGCATGTTCTGTGCCTCCACACGCCTTCTTCTGTCTGTAGAGATTGATCCCCAGTGAGTTATATAGGTTGAAAAAATGGATTCTAGGATGCAAGGTGGAGTATTCGGGTTCTCAGAGAAGAGAGGAAAATAAGCTGAACTTCTCATATCCCGAGTTCCTTTTGAGGTGTGACATCTATTTCATGTTCCGTTTGAACAAGAGGCTTTCGTATTCATGTATCTTTCAACCCTGTTATCTGTTCTTCCCTCTGCCCCCCCCCCCCTAGCTTTTCTTTCCTGAAACTCACACTCTGTTCTTCCAAACCTCTTCCAAACCTCCAGGCTTGATGATGTCATCGGCATGGCGCCTGGAGAGCTCCACATTCTGCGATATAGGCCGATCCAAACACTTGTACAGTCGGGTGATATTATTCTTCTGTGAGAGACGGTATATCATTTCTTTGAAATGGTTGAGCCTAATGATTGCACATGCGTGAAGTTCTGAATGTATTCCTGATTTACAGATAACGATTCACTTGATGGTTCGGTGGCGAAAGCTACTGAGCGACACATGCCGTCATCGCCCGGATATAAGTCAGTGTTGAATAGTAGACAGGGGTTGTCTATTATACGGGTGTCTCATATAAACAGGCTAGCCTTTTTATACGACACCTATTTGTGTGTACGAGATAAGACATATATGTCTTATAATCGAAACTGCAATATATTATAGTGAAAATTGAAATACCGCGTACATTTTTAACCTTGCGACACGCGAATTCTGCCACGTGCTGACTCATGTACAACCAAATTTGCCTCTGCAAGTATTCTCCATGACGTGGCGTCCCGAACAATGGTTGCCGAAGTGGCATCTTCGCAACATCCACTCTCATAATGAGAAACTCTTTTCCAGATGTGTGAAAATATTTCTAAGTAGTTTAAAAAAGTTTCCATTTATAAGACTTATAAGACACCCAAAACCTTCCCAAATACAAGATAACCCAAGCATTTTTTTTAGTGTATGAGATAAGACATATATGTCTTATATCCGGGCGATGACGGTGCGTGTCGAAATAAAGGTTTTGTTACGGGTGCAATGAATCGAGGTAGCGAGGATTGCACTAAGGTGTCAAACGAGTACAAAATGTGAGCGAAGGCATGAGCGAACATTTATACGCGAAACATGCAAACGGAAACGCGGTGCGTGCGAGCTAGCTGGTGCTACGCTGGCAGCGAGGCTCGGGCTAGTCCCGAAGCGTAGGCCGACACGGCCGGGCCAGCAGTGCGAGGTTTGGTGAAACAGTGCGCGCGAAGTCGGTGAAGCCCCGTTAGCAGTAACGGGCGAACAATGGCTGCGGCTGTACGCGATGTTGCAGGGCGCGCTAAGGAATGTCGAGAAAATTCCTTACAGGTTTTTAGAAGTGCAGGATTTTAGTGTTAGAAATCGCATCCAATGGTTGACAACAGTTTGACTGCTCTTACGAGTTCAACTCTTCTTCAACTGAAAGCCACAAACGAGATCCCGGATCTTCCTCAACTGAACAAGTGCTTGATTACTCTCTTCCCGCCACACAATTCTGACACTTCTGACACATTTGGGACTGTTGGCCGACCATGGACGCTCTACAGTGGTATTCGAATTTGACTAGTGGGTTGGAACGGAACTTGCTGTATCATGGAGCTCCTATCGACGTAGTTTATAATTACCGGAGGAGGTGCTTTCCACTCTTCATTGCGCTTCCTGCGCTCGGGCAGCATCCCTTCAGGCCTAACCATTATAGGAGGTACTCCTGTCTAGCTTCCTTCGTTAGACATGTGTACCCTTCGTTATCGCTATGGAAGCATATGTCTGTTGTAGATCAAGCCTCGTCGTAAGGAGTTCCTGTTGTTGCGATAGGCTTCGTTCTTCGTTTCGTGGAGCCTTACTCCTGCCCTTCGATGCGAAACACCTCGGCAGATCGGCGGCTCAGTTGATCTGATGTGTTACCTCATTCGCACAACTGAACTTGTAATGTCGCATCTTCGTTCGCGCATGTGGTAACACCAGAAGGTGTTTATTCGCCACATTGGCGACCATGACTTTTTCAGAATCATGGGGATCTCTCGTCGCTGACGCACGTGCGAACGTCAAACCACTGACGAAGTCCAAACGGATCCCGTTAACGTTCCGGTTTAAGTCAACGTTGGCTCTATTTCAGCGGATTCTCCTCCCAGTAGCCCTTCTCCTTCAGCTCTTAGCAGGTATATTTTTCCTCCATCACTACCAATCCTCCACTTTCCTCCCTTCCACGTCGGATGTTTCATCTGCCCGAGGAAAAACTTTTCTAGCTGCCCTAGATGCGACTGCTTTCTCCAGTGTAGCCGATACTTCTCTTGCTATAGCAGGCTACAGTAACATCGGCCGCACTGTATCTGATTCGGCGCGCAGCGGGTTCCAAAGCGAGAAGCTGGTTACCAGCAGTCCTGCACGAGCGAAGATCAACAATGCAAGCAGCACTGTTACAGGAGCAACTGATGATGTAACCAGCAGTGTTACAGTAGCATCTGAGTATGTAACCGGTCTGGATCCACCAGTTATGCACACGTCTCGCATCTCATTGGGCCTTGATGACGTCACGATCACGTCACTCAACAGACTGCAGCAGTCAACCGGCTTGAAAGCGGCTCCGTTAGTGGTCAGTAACGGAAGGGGGAGAGGAGGAGGGTGGATGGGAGGGGGGAGCGGAAGGGGGAGAGGAGAGGTAAGCAGAGGGGCAAATGGAGGCGTGACAGCAGGGCTGAGGGGAGAGACCAGCGGAACAGGTTGGGGCGGAGGGGGGGAAACGGCGGAGGGGCGGAAAAGCGCAGGCAGGGGATGGTGGGGCTGGCTGGTAGGGGGAAGGGGAATGAAGGAAGGTGAGGGGATGGGAGAAAGGGGAGAAGAGGAAGGAGGAGGGGAGGGGGAGGAGTTAGGAGAGAATGAATCTTCGTCTCCTCATAAGCCGCTGTGGCTACGAAAGCTAGAGGAGAGAGACGCACAGGCATTGGCATTGCAGCAGCAGAAGGGGGAGGACGGAGGGGTTGAGGGGAAAAGAAGGGCGAGCGGGAAAGGAGGGAGGAGAGGTGGGGGTGGAGGTGGGAAGGGAGGAGGAAAGGGAGGAGGGAAGGGAGGAGGGAAAGGAGGGAAGGGAGGGGGGGAGGGAGGGGAGCTTCGAATAGTTGCAGGGAGGCTGGTGAGGAAGATTTCAAAATACGATATGCTGCTAAAGATGCTGGCGGAAGTTGCGAGGAAGGAGCAGCAGGCGAAGCGGGCGGTGGCTGAATGGAAGAGGCTCGGCAATCCGTGGCCTCCCGTCGTGGCTCGGCCGGACCTCCTGGCAAGGAACGAGCTCCCGGTTCGGAATGCGGATAAATTTCCCGAGGCAGGGGGAGGGGGAAGAGCGCAAACGGGAAGGGCGGAAGCGGAGAGAAAAGGAGGAGGAAGGCACGGGGGAGGCGGAGGGATAGGGCAGGAGGAGCAGGTGATCGTGGTGCTGTACGTGCACCAGCGGGCAGAGTACCTGAAGGTGGCTCTGAATGCTCTCTCTAAAGTCCAAGGCATCAACGAGACCCTCCTCATTGTCAGGTGCGTGCTTGTTGGTGAGCAGGTACCTCAGGCATAGAGGAGCAGTCAGTGGGGGTGATAGTGGTGCTGTATGTGCACAGGCGGGCAGAGTACCTGAAGGTGGCTCTGGATGCTCTTTCTAAAGTGCAAAGCATCAATGAGACCCTGCTCATCGTCAGGTGCGTGTCTGCTGGTAACCACGTGCTGCAGGGGGACAGTCAGTGGAGGTGGTAGTGGTGATTTTTAAGACGTCTCAAAGGTGGTGGTGGTGCTGCATGTGCACAGGCGAGAGGAGCACCTGAATGTGGCTCTAGATGCTCTCGAGGTGACTTTTGAGTACATCGAGGTGACTCAAAAGATGTACTACCTTCAGGTAGTGGCTCTGGCACAGGAGGGCAGAGTACCTGAAAGTGGCTCTGGCACAGGAGGGCAGAGTACCTGAAAGTGGCTCTGGCACAGGAGGGCAGAGTACCTGAAAGTGGCTCTGGCACAGGAGGGCAGAGTACCTGAAAGTGGCTCTGGCACAGGAGGGCAGAGTACCTGAAAGTGGCTCTGGCACAGGAGGGCAGAGTACCTGAAAGTGGCTCTGGCACAGGAGGGCAGAGTACCTGAAAGTGGTTCTGGATGCTCTCTCTAAAGTCCAAGGCATCAACGAGACCCTCCTCATCATCAGGTGCGAACCTGCAGACGGTCAAGTGCTGGTAGCGTAGAGATGGGAGCATGAGTAGCGGGTGACAGTGGCACAGGCGGGAAGAGTACCTAAGAGTGGCTCTGGATGCTCTCTCTAAAGTCCAAGGCATTAATGAGACGCTCCTCATTGTCAGGTGCGCTGTGAGTGTGTGTGAGCGCGAAGGGTACTGCAAGGTGCAATGCAAGGGGTGCTGCTAGGAGCAGGTGATAGTGGCGCGAATGCCTGAAGGTGCTTTAGATGCTCTGTCTGAAGTCCAAGGCATCAACGAGACCCTCCTCATTGTCAGGTGCGTGCTTGTTGGTGAGCAGGTACCTCAGGCTTGTTGTTGGTGCGTGCCTGCTGATAACCGAGAGCCTCAGGGGAGCAGGCAGTGGTGATAGTGGTGCTGTATGTGCACAGGAGGGAAGAGTACCTATGAGTGGCGTTAAATGCTCTGTCTGAAGTCCAAGGAATCAACGAAACCCTCCTCATTGTCAGGTGCGTGCCTGCTGGTTATTAGGTGCCATAGACATAGCGGCCGGGGTCTTCCCTTCCTGCAGTCGACGCCCTCGTCCGCTCAATCACCTTCTGCCCTGTCAAGCAGATCTACTCCCCACTCTCCCACATCTCCACGTCTCTACCTTCCCCTCTCCCTGCACTGCACCTCCTGATTGTCTCCTTCCCTCCCTCTCCCCCCTTTGTGCACGCATCTTCCCCCCTCCCTCTCCGCCCCTTGTGCACGCATCTTCCCCCCTCCCTCTCTGCCCCTTGTGCACGCATCTTCCCCCCTCCCTCTCCGCCCCTTGTGCACGCATCTTCCCCCCTCCCTCTCACCAGCCACGATGGGTTCTTCCCAGCAGTTGACTCGCTCATCCGTGCAATCACATTCTGCCACGTCTCTTTCCCTTCCTCTCCGCCCCTTTTGCTCCCGTTTCCCTTCTTCTCAACAGTCACCCTCTGTGTCCCCCCATTGCCCCCATTTCCCACCTCTTACTCAACAGCCACGACGGTCTTCCCTCCCTGCTGCAGTCGACGCCCTCGTCCGCTCAATCACCTTCTGCCCTGTCAAGCAGATCTACTTCCCCCTCTCCCACCTCTCCACGTCGCTACCTTCCCCTCTCCCTGCACCTCCTAATGGTCTCCTTCCCTCCCTCTCCGCCCCTTCTGCACTCATCTCCCCCCACCCCCTCTCAACAGTCATGACGGGTTCTTCCCTGCAGTCGACGCCCTCGTCCGCGCAATCACCTTCTGCCCTGTCAAACAGCTCCACTTCCCCAGCGCCCCATTAATCATCTGTTCTTCGCCCATATATTGTGCCTACTCCCCCCTCTCACCAGCCATGACGGGTTCTTCCCTGCAGTCGACGCCCTCATCCGCTCAATCACCTTCTGCCCTGTCAAGCAGATCTACTTCCCCCTCTCGCTGCACCTCCAAAACGGCTCCTTCCCCAACCGCTCCCCCTTAGACTGCCCTTCTAGCAGCAGCTTTAAAGGCCGCAGGGATGGGCAGCAAGAGGAGGGGCAGAGAAAAGGGCAGAAAAACGGGCAGGGAAATGGGCAGAAGGAGGGGCTGGAAAACGGGCAGGAGGAGGGGCAGAAGGAGGAGAGGAAAGAGGAGGGAGCGTGTTTTGGAGACGTGGACCAGAATGGGCGGTACAGGGATCCACACTTCGTGGCGTTAAAGGTACATGCTGTGGGACTAGTCATTCAGTAAGGTCAGGTGTCGCGTTATTAACGCCTAGCCAGCAGGCTAAGGCGTGAATTACACAGCAGCCAGGTAATTGTGCATTTCTGGACTTGTACTCTAATTTCTTTTGTGTGCGTGGTATGTACTGTACATACGCTTTACAGAGCCGAGTGCAGGGAAATTCGAGGAGGTTGGTACAGAAGAGGGAATTCGATTCCAGCTGGGAATTCGATTCCAGGTTGGGAATGCAATTCCAGCTGGGAATGCGATTCCAGGCTAGGAACTCGATTCCAGCTGGATTGCAGTGCATGCCTAGTGGGCCCAGTGGGAGCCAGCTAGCACCTAGGAGCCATCACGAGCAGTGCAGCTGACTCGCGTCTGGCACTAGAGTTAGCGTGCTGCAGAAGGAACCTAGGCAGGAGGAGGAGGGAATGTAGTCGAGGGTAGCACTCAGGTTTCTCGCTTTTTGCTTGTATGTTTCTCTTCTTACTGTAATCTTGTTTTCCTAAGCCAAAGGAAGCTAGCAGTAGGGAGAAGCAGGAGCAATCTGACGGAGCCCTTGCGAGGGGGTTTAGACTTGTTCATACAAGCAAAAAGTTGCAGTGCTGAAATTTCAGCAGAACAGGTACGAACGCCTGGAGGACCTGCGGTGATGCACCGTAAGGGATGAGCGGCCTGGATCAAGAACTACATACTCATCAGCTGCGTTCAGGTCACAGATTTCCTGCGCACAGGATGGAGGGGCAAGACCTGCCGACTAAGACGCCTGGGTTCCGAGCAGAAGAAGGAACAGCGAACGCGAGTGGTAATAGCAGTGCGGATCAAGGAAAGGAGGGCGACCGACGGGGAGAGCCTCCACTGGGCTCTAACTGCAATTCGCCAGTGCCAGGGATGGGATCCCGATCAGCCGGGGTTGGAGGATCTCAGCGTGGAACCCCAGAACCGAGAGTGGGAGACCATCAGGAAGATCAGCGGAGCCAGCGAGAAGGAGAGGCGTTTCACGGATTCTCTGCTGGAAGATACGAATCCAGGGAGGCCGGAAGAGGAGATCAGCATGTGGGGATTGGCGAGAGGGGAACGGCGAGCTGGGGAACGGGCAGAACGATAAGTGCAGCTCCACCTAAGATTGAGGTGCCGGATCGCTTCTCAGGAGCGCCTGGAGAGGAGCCCACGTTGAAGAATTACCTTATGATGGTGGATGACATCCGATACTGCTGGAAGAGGGAGGGGCATGATCCCATTGAATTCTTCAGAGGATTGGGGAGAACGCTCAAGGGGGAAGCGCTGACGCACTACCGGGTGGAGAGACAAGGGTTGTTGCTGCAGAGTAAACGGGGAGACTTCGCGTCGGCGGAAATCACCGACCGATTCCTGGAAGGCCCGCGAGAACAATTCCCGGGACATTCAGCAGATCGGATGACAGAGTTCCAAGATTTTAAGAGAGCGAGAGGAGAATCTCTGCTAGCGTACTATAATCGACTGATGGAGCTGGCCGAAGACATGGGCTGCCTGGAAGAACGGACCTTGGTGTCGAAGTTTGTGGGTGGATTGGATGAAGACCTGGTGCAAGATATGCGGAGCCGACTGTACGCGCTGGGGATGAAGGCGAAATTGCGACAAGTGTATCAGGTGGCGAAAGAGGTAGAGGAGGGAAGAAGGTTCTTCGATGGGTTACGCGGAGCGAGCTCAGGAAGATCAGGCGAACGCAGGAGGCCGGCGTGGGCTGCGGTGGAAGGAAAGCGGATGGAAGAAGAACGGAGAGAAAAACCATTTGAAGACAAGCGACGGTGTCACAAGTGCGGGGAACACGGGCATCTGCGAAAGGATTGCGCCATCGACATCATATGCGACATCTGCAAGGAGAAAGGGCATTTCAGGCGGAATTGTCCCAAGGCGCCGATCTGCACCTTCTGTAGGAAACGGGGACATACGGAAGAAAGGTGCTACAGCAAGAAGGAGAAGGGGGGAGAAAAATCCGCTAGAGAACAGCAGTTGGAGAGGGAGTTAGCAAAGCTGAAGGCGCAGATGGGTAAGGTGGAGATCAGCGAAGACCCGGAGAAAGCGCTACTAGCTTGGGAAGACGAGGAAGAGGAAGATTACGGGGAGGGAGAAGCTGAGTATGGGACAATGGCCATGTCACCCAGGGACCGAGAAAGTTTGGGGTTGAGGAGTGGAGGGAAGGACGGTAGAGCGGAGCTGAAGCAGCCAATGAGAAGAACTTCAAAGGTACCTGAGGGGACTAACAAGCCGAAGACAGCTCGGCGGCACCCTGAAGAGCGACTGGTCTGCCAGCCCACGGCTCTGGTGGTGGAACCGAAGGCTATAGCGGTACGAGGGATTCTGGTAGAAAATGCCGTGGTGGATACAGGCGCGCAAAGTGTCTTGCTGGGAAGAAAGCTGACCGAACAGCTAAAGGCGCAAGGAGGTTGGGAAACAGTGAGACGGGGAACACTGATCATGACCGCAGAGGGAGGGGCTCCTAAGTGGATGCCATGCACTAAGGATCTGATTGAGATTACGCTGCAGCCGGGAGGGGAGGGAGAGACAACGATAAGGGTGCAGTGCGGACTGACAGAATCAGACGACTACGACATTTTACTGGGAATGGAGTTGCTCTACAAGATAGGGACTACGATATGCACCTGGCAGGAGCAAGTGCTATACCGCTCGGATTTCTGGGAGGAAGGGAAGGAGCTGAGTGAGCTGCCGGTGCGTTTCATCAAGACCGAACCAAAGAAAGCCTGGAGGGCAGGAGGCATGGGGAGAGGAGGAAGTAAAAGCGGTGGGAAGATCATGGAAATCCAGCCGGGGGCAAGCATAGACCAGTACAGTGTCACACTAGTGGAGCTGTTCGGGGGGCTGGGAGCCGGTTTAGCAGCAGCGCTAGAGGCCGGCCTGAGGGTGAAGAAGTGGATCTATGTGGAGGTGGATCCCGAAGTCCGGAGGATGGCCTGGAAACACGCACAGGTACTGCAGCTGCGGTACCCCGCCCAGCTGAGGAAAGATGTGGTGAAGGAGGCCATGCAGAACAAGAAATGGGATGTGAAGCAGATTACCCAAGAAGACGTAAAGAATTGGGGAAAAAGGGACCTGCTAGTAGCCGGCTGGGAGTGCCAGGGTACCTCGAGGGCAGGGAAGGGGAAGGGATTGCAAGATGAGCGCACGGGGTTAGTAATCACGCTACTGGAAATCATGAGGTGGACGAAGGAGGTAGGAGGAGAGTACGCTTACATTCTAGAGCACGTGGATATGAATGGTGACGCTAGGGAGCCGGTTCGAGAAGTGCGTGAGCTGGTGGAAGCAGAATTGGGAAAGGGAGTTAGATGTGACGGGGCGCAGCTGGGGGCACTAACGCATCGGGTGCGGCGCTTCTGGCAAAATGTCCTGCCTGAAGGGGAGCTGCGGGCTCAGTTGGCAAAAGTAGAAAGAGATGGGACTAGGATTGTGGAGGACATCCTCGAACCAGGGAGGGTAGCTGCACCAGTGGTCAAACCAGATCACCCCCTACAGTACCAATGCAACCGGGTAGGGGAAGCGCGAAGAGCCTGGCCGACGTTAGTGGCTTACGCGAAAGCACAAGGCTTTATTGAGCAGGATGGGAACCCTGGCCCAGGGATGGTGTATGATCACCGTAAAGGGAAGTGGGAAGAGCCAACCGCCTTGGAACGCGAGCTAGCTATGGGGTACTTTCCAGGAGCCACTGCAGCAGAGGGAGTGGGGGAAGAGACTCGTCGGGCAGCTTTGGGCAGGGCGATTGATCAACATTCTCTGAGATGGTTGGTAACAGAGATGCGGAAGGGTCCAGGGCAGCAGGGAGGGAAGCAGGAAAGGCAAGGGGGTCAGTGCTATAAGCAAGCAGCATACGCAGCAGTCGAGAAGATAACCGCTAAGGGGGGCACTACAGATACGCAGGCAGGGGTCAGAGACATGGAAGCAGGCAAGGAATGGGAGATGGGAGCTGACATAAAGAAGGAGGTGGCAGAAGCAATTAGACAGGTACTACAGCAGCACAGAGGTACTTTCGCATACAACTTACAGGAGCTGGGAAGATACAAAGGGAGAGAGTTGGAGTTAAACTTAACCACGGAGCTGCCCACTTATCAGCGCAGGAGGCGGATGAATGCAGAAGATGCGGCGATCTGCAAGGAGAAATGCGCGGAGCTGCTGGCAGCAGGGATAATACGCCCGTCAGAGTCGAGTTATGCAGCAGCCACGGTAGTAGCTGTCAGAAAAGACATCACGGGGAAGGTGTTAGCAAAGCGGATGTGTGGGGACTTTAGGGACCTGAACAAGATCACCAGCCCAGACCGATATCCCATGCCGACTGCGGATGATATCTTCGATAAACTAGATGGAGCAACGATCTTCTCCACCCTGGACTTACGACAAGGATTTAACAAAATCGCTATCAAGGAAGGGGACAAGCGAAAAACAGCCTTTCACGGAGTGGATGGGCTGTACGAATACAATGTGATGCCATTCGGGATATGCAATGCGCCAGCGGTGTTTCAACGGGCTATGGATCAGGTGCTGAAGGGAATCCCAGCAGCAGCCTGTTACATTGATGATGTGCTCATCTTCAGTGGAAGCGACGAACAGCATGTACAGGACTTGAAGCAGACTCTGGAGGCGATAGCAGCTGCAGGACTAACATGCCACCCGGACAAGTGCAAGATAGCCCGCCGTACAGTGGCGTACCTGGGGTTTGAGGTGAGGGGGGGGCGGCTGGCGATACAGGAAGTTAAAGTCAAGGTGCTGGACGATTTGGCTGCACCGAAGGACAAATCTGGGCTAAGGGCACTTCTTGGCTTCCTGAACTATTACAGGAAGTTCGTGCCGAATTTCAGTCGCCGAGCGCACGCCTTGAACCAGCTGCTCAGAGAGGGGAAGAGTTGGCAGTGGGGAGATACGGAGGAAGCAGCCAGGCAAGATTTGCTGGAAGCAGTGAAGACGGGTACCCTGCTGCAGATACCTCGGGCAGATGCGCCATTTGTTCTTTACACCAACTGGAGCAGTATGGGGATGGGGGCAGTGCTTTGCCAGGACATAGATGGGGAAGAGAGAGTCGTAGCATTCGCCAGTCGCAGCTGTAGCCCTAGGGAAGCTAACTACAGCTCGTACGAAGGGGACTGACCGCTGTGTGGGGGTATCACCCACTTCAAAGTGTACCTGCAAGGCCGGCACTTCACGCTAGTGACCGACCACCAGCCCTTGCTATGGTTGATGAAAAACCAAGAACTGACGGGCAGGAACGCCAGGTGGGCAATCAAACTGTTGGGATTCGATTTCGATATCCGTCACCAACCGGGTAAGACGCTGCAACACGCGGATGGGTTATCCAGGAACCCGCCTCCGATTCAGCCAGTTGCACAGCTGATAGCATTAGCACAGGTGGCAGAGGTGACCTGGGGGCAAGAGAAGGGAGAGCAGCGGCAGGTGGATGTGTGGGAAGATCAGGAGACCATGGGGTGGATACAAGGAGAGCCGTTAGAGGACTCAGGAGTAAGCGAACGGGCCAGGGCCAGGGGGCAGCATTACCGATGGTTTCAGGATCAGTTACAGCTGCGCACTAGCGAAGGATGGCGCGTCGTGCCACAGCCGCAAGACAGGGAGAGGATCATGCTAAAGGTCCATGGGAAGTTGGGGCATTACGGGATAGCCAGGACTCGACAGCTGCTGAGCACTATGTACTGGTGGGCAAGCATGAGGAAGGACGTAGCTGCAATGGTAGCAGCCTGCGAAGCTTGTCAGCGAAACAAGGCGGCTTTGGAGAGAGAAAGAGACGAGCTGCAATCCCTACCAATCCGAGGCTTGGGGTACCGATGGTCGCTGGATTTGGCAGGAGAGCTGCCGCTGTCTACCAAAGGAAAGCAGTATATCCTGGTAATGATAGGGCATACCAGCAAGTGGGTGGAGGCCAGGGCCTTGTCCAGCAAAAACAGCAGCTTGATCGCTGAGGCTTTCGTGCAAGAGGTGCTCACCAGGTACGGAGCGTGCGGGGAGGTATTGACTGACCAGGGGACCGAATTCCAAGGCAGCTTCGAGGAGATGCTGAAAGAGAACCGAATTACTCATCGTGTGACTTCAAGGTACCACCCGCAGTCGGATGGATTGACCGAACGAATGATACATACCTTGAAGAAGGGACTGAGGGCATACGGGGAGAACAACAAGAGGAATTGGGACAAGGAGCTCCCCTGGATTCTGGCGGGATACAGGTTTGCTAAGCAGTCTGCTCTGAAGAATCTGTCACCCTACCATCTGCTGTACGGTCGGGACCCAGTCTTACCTGTGGATGCACCGAAGCTGTTGTCGGTTGCCGTGGAGGCAGACGAGCCTGGTTTATGGGCCGAAGTAGCACAGAAGAGGGCACGGTACCTGAGGGAGCTGACACCAGCAGCCTTGGACAATTTACACGTCGCGCAGCTGAGGGATGCACGCCGATATCAGCAACGCAAGGAGGAGGGTAAAGGAAAGCAGAGGGAGGCTATAGCGGCAGGACAGGAGGTATACCTGAGAAAGGCGAAGAGGGACACACTGGACCTAGCCGTGGGTCCTGAACGGTGGAAGGTGAAGGAAGTGCGGGAGTCGGGAGTCCTAGTGTTGGAGGATCAGCGAGGAAAGAAAGTCAAGGAGCATGTGACGAATGTGGCTCGAGCGAAGGGAGTGCAGATTCAGGCTAAGGATCCCGTGACCAGAGCTGCTGGAGCTGCTGCTCAGGCACGGGAGGGGGCAGGGTCGCCTGATACACGTGGAGGGAAGGAGAGTAAGCTCATTACATATCCCAGGAGGAACAAGGGTTAGGGGGTGTCACCTGCTGGAAGAAAGGGGACAGAAAAGTGAGAAGGGTGGAGGAGAGAAAAGGGAGGGAAGGCTTCAATGAGAAGGGAGGCTCAGCCGGACTTGCATCACGACACAGGGAGTAGGTAGTGCATGCAAAAGTGATGGGAGCGTGTCTCTAAAAGTATGACCAGGCCCGTGATACAATCAGAAGAGCAGGAAAGAGGAGGGAGCGTGTTTTGGAGACGTGGACCAGAATGGGCGGTACAGAGACCCACACTTGGTTGCTCTAAAGGTACTGGTTGTTCATGCAGGACCACCTGCTCTTTTGAGGCGCCTCTAAAGGTACTGGTTGTTCATGCAGGACCACCTGCTCTTTTGAGGCGCCTCTAAAGGTACTGGTTGTTCATGCAGGACCACCTGCTCTTTTGAGGCGCCTCTAAAGGTACTGCTTGTTCATGCAGGACCACCTGCTCTTTTGAGGCGCCTCTAAAGGTACTGGTTGTTCATGCAGGACCACCTGCTCTTCCCCATTGCACTCCCTTGTTCCAGTCAATACCTTCTTCACCCTTCCCCCTCCTTTCTCCCTTGTCCCACACGCAGCACCACTGGTGGTGGATGCAGAACACGGTGTGGGACAGCCTTCCAGAAACCAAGTCCTTCACCGGACACATGCTCTTCATTGAAGAGGATCACCTGCTCTTCAATGTCCCTTACCCTCCTGCGTGTACCGCCCCCCCTTCCTTGTCTTCACCACCCAACTTCCCTCTCAGAAACCACCTCATTTACCGCCCACATGCTCTTCATAGAGGAGGGGACCACCTGCTCTTCCCCAACGTGCTCGCCCATTTGCACGCGCTCATACGTGTGAAGAACACACTGTGACCCGTCCTCTTTTCCCTCCTTCCGTCTCCTACCCTCCCTGCTCCCTTTCCTTTCCCCCCAACCCCAGCACCACTGGTGGTGGATGCAGAACACAGTGTGGGACGGTCTATCAGAGACCAAGTCTTTCACCGGCCACATGCTCTTTATCGAAGAGGACCACCTGCTCTTCCCCAACGCGCTCGCCCATCTGAAGGCCCTCATACATGTGAAGAACACGCGGTGCCCCGAGTGTGTGGCGGTCACGCTCACCCTCTTCCCCTTCCCTTTCTCCCCACCTCCCTCCCCCCATCTCCCTCCCCCCACACGCAGCACCACTGGTGGTGGATGCAGAACACGGTGTGGGACAGCCTTTCCGAAACCAATACCTTTACCGGCCACATGCTCTTTATCGAAGAGGACCACCTGCTCTTCCCCAACGCTCTTGCCCATCTGACCGCCCTCATACATGTGAAGAACACGCGGTGCCCCGAGTGTGTGGCGGTCACGCTCGCGCCGTCGAACGTGAAATCCCGAGGGGAGAATGGGCTGAGGGCGTTTGTGCGCGAGAGGATGGGGAACGTGGGGTATGCTTTCAATCGAAGTGTGTGGGAGCAGATTCAGAAGTCCCACAAGGTGAGTCGAGACCAAAGAGTGGGGCTGCCTAGGCTTCTGCTGCTGCTTCTGCTTCTGCTTCTGCACGCTCCACTCCCAATGCAAGCTTGCCAATCTGGCCGCCCTCATTCGTGTGAAGAACGCGCGGTGCCCCGAGTGCGTGGCGGTCACGCTCGCCCCTTCGAACGTGCTGTCGAGATGGGAGAGCGGTCTGTGGGCGTTTGTGCGCGAGAGGATGGGGAATGTGGGGTATGCGTTCAATAAGAGCGTGTGGGAACAGATTCAGAAATCCCACAAGGTGAGATGAAACAACGCACAGTTCTAAGATCTGTCTGGAGAGTGGGGTTAGCACGTTTGTGCATGAGAGGATGGGGAATGTGGGATATGTGTTTAATCGGAATGTGTGGGAGAAGATTCGCAAGTCCCACAAGCTGAGTTGAAACCACGAGTCTGGAGTGTCGGGTTAGCACGTTCATGCACGACTGGGTGGGGAACATGGGATACGCTTTCAATAGAAGTGTGTGAGAGCAGATTCAGAGGTCCCACAAGGTGAGACCAAGACAAGTGCGGTTCTGCGTTCTCTGTCTGGCTGGAGAGTGAAGTGAGCTATGTGCGAGGGGTTTGGGATCGTGGGGTATGCGTCCAACCGAAGCGTGTGAGAGAAATTTCGCAGGTCCCACAAGGTGTGTCAAAACCAAAGAGTGTGTCTGCGTTTCGCTTTCTGCTTCAGGGTATGTTTCTTTCCTGTAACATTCTTGTCCATATCACTCTCTGCATCCCTCTCCGATCATTTTTCCTGGATCCATTCCCGGTCCACAAAGTATCACTTCTGCTACTTTGACAACTTTTATTGGGACATGTCGGCTCTCCAACTGTATGACCACCTCTGACACCACTCCGCCGCACTTTCCATCACCTTTCCTGTATATCCCCCCATTTCTCCCCACCTCCCGGGTTCATGAGCAGTACTTTTGCTACTTTGACGATTACAACTGGGACGTGTCGCTCTGCTAATCCATCTTCCACTACTGACGGCACTCAGCCCAAACCACATTACCCTTGTCACTCTTCCTGTATCCATCTCCCCTCCCCCCTCCCCCAATCCCCCGTGTTTGAGCAGTACTTCTGCTACTTTGACGACTACAATTGGGACGTATCACTTTCCGAATCCATCTTCCACTATTGGCGTCACTCCTCCTCACTCCGCTGGTCGGCTGCTTCTGCGCATCACTTTGGCCGCTGCGGCCTGCACTCAGAAAAGCCGGAGGCACCGGCTCACTACCTCGTTCGAAAGAACAGGACCGAGCCTGAGCTTGGAGAGCAGCATGCCTCAGATGCTCGTGTGAACCCGAGGGGCCGACTTGACAGTGCAGATGGGGGAACAGAGCGGTACAGAACGATGGAGGGCGATTTTGTTGTTGTGAATGCAACAGGGAATGTGTCTTCGGCTGTGGATCAGTGTTCCAAAGAAGGTTTGCAGCTGCCGAGACTGTTGCCGCATGATTTGCGGCCAGATATTGACATGGGTGCACCTATTAGAGCGTTCGATTTCAAGGGACCGGTTTTTGAACGGTTTACTGGGTTTGGAGGGTGGGGGGATGGGAGAGACCATATGCTCTGCATGCACATTGGTGCACTGTTTGGAAAGCGTAGCAGAACGCCTCTAACCTGATTCATTCTGCGGTTCTTCATTCGATGCTTACCATAGAGGTTTCTCGCCAAAAAGCTTATGCACCAAGCACCACAAAAAATATAGATCCTAGTAGACACAACAACAATGAATGCATGCGTACACTAAAGTTCCTTCACCCTACTGCACCCATCGAAAGCAAGGAGGCGTTTGCAGACTGAAATGATATGAAAATACCATACATATGGCTTGCAGCTGTGGGCTTCAATAAATTATTGGATATGGTTCCGAAAGCTTGGAGGTCCATCAATGGAGCAATGATCCATGATAAATAAATACATGCCCACTTCTCATTTCCGCCTGCTGGAACTTTTCACATGTGCCCAGCAACCTGATGGACCGCTTCAAAGCAGCTAGTGAAGATATCAACTTGTCCGGAGCTTGTTAGCGCTTCTTTGAGGGCCTACGTGAATGCCAGAACATAAGCAGATAACCCAATATAAGCTTCAATAACTGGACCTTGATATAGTAGTGCTTACATCAACCAGTGCTGTCTTAGCATTCAAGGCTTCTGCAAGTTCATGTGTCTTTGTACTAACAACCATTAATGACTCCTGCACAAGCGGCCAGCACATTCAGCAACAGGACAGGTGGCATGACCCACCAATACAATGCTTACCTTGAGCTGTGCCATCTCAGTCTGCATTTGTGCTTTCTCAGATTTGAGCTGAGAGACCTGTTGTAGTGCAGGCCAGACATGAATGGGCTGCTGTAACGCAATTGAAAGGATAGCTGCAGGACAACCATTGGGGTGTCACCTCTTCTGATAACGTTGAGATGGCATTGAGCCTTCGTAAGCGAGATCTTTCCGCTGATTGTCGATTTGCCAATATTCGTTGTGCCTTCTTGGGGTTTTCAGCTCGTGCGCTCTGCATTAAGGTGGTTATTTCGATTCTGTACACAAACTTTCAAGTAAATCATTACGGTGATTTATGTTGTCAAGCTTATGCTTACTTCAAGCCTCTCCATGTCCCGCTCTCTGCGACTGGATCCTGGCATGTAGACACAGCTCACAGTGCGATATGACAATGCTGAACGAATATTGGCAACCGGCGCTGCGTTACATTGACTATCCACATGTCAGCCATGTAATGCATACACTTACCAGCAGAGGCCGATGTAAGCTCACCACTCCATCTGCAGAATAAGTCATTTTGTTTAGGAGGTATTATCCTTATTGAATTCGTGAAGCACTCACCTGCTTCGCTTTGTGCGATTCTGGCGCTTCTTTCCGCGGTCAGTGTCGTTTAATGAGAGCTCAACATGTCGTTCGTTTTTTCCGCGGGGGTCACTTGAACGGTCACGACGTATCAGAGTAAGAGGCTGACAATTTTCCTGGCCGCTCGGTTGCTTGCGTTTACGTTCGTTGTCCACGCTCGTCGCAGGTTGAGTCAGCGACATATTGCTGCACCTTTGGAGCGTAATGCCACTGGAATACACCTCCGAAGCCTTAAGAGGCTTCAGAAATGCACGATGTCTATCTCCTCTGCATTCGCTGAAAAGCACAATGCAGCGTTTAAGGACAAGTTGCATTGAAAGACATCGTTTTCGACATCGTACCTTTTTTCCGATAACCCGTCTGGATGTACTTCCTCGAATCCCGGGGGTGAATGGTTTCCCATCCATGGCACTAGCGCCATCATTCCACGCTCAAGTTCAGTGGAAACTTTATCTGAATGAAAACATGACCATTAGGCTGCACACACATCGATTATATCCTCAATGTTTGACGACTAACCTGAGAAGTCCCCCATTTCGTCAGTGAATGGTGGCAAGGATGTTTTCCAATGAAGCAGAAAGAAAACGCATATGATTCTTTGAAGAGGATAGAAGTAGGGTAATTGATGATGGAAATCGAGGGCGTGTTCTCGAACGGTGTGTATGGTGGTTTGAGCCAGACCGCAGTGAGTGCCGTGAGCCTCACCCCAACCAATCATTCCGAACGAACTTCGTTACTTCTGCACACCGAACTTTGCCAATGTCCTTCAACAAAATCGTGTCCGTAGTCACATTCCGTAACCTGAACCGTGAACCCTGCGTGTATGGCGCTTCATGTTCTTCATATCCTGAACCTTTCGTGCGAACCGTTCGGGTTTCATGTGTATTTTTCACCGACTGCAGATTGACAACTGGTCACAGGTGTCTTGACGAAACAATATCAAGGACAATGGAAACACGCCCTAAACAAAACCTAAAGTTGATGGACGTGATGGATAACGACACAAGTCCGTTTCAACACCTAGCCATTGAGCGCTGGCCGAGTTTCTCATGAGGCTCCTACTACAAATCTTTTAGGCGTACTTCGAATCACTCGTCCGCGCCAATGAGTCTGGTGCAAGTGGAGGTGTACGAAAAATTGTGACGCCTTTATCCTGAAGAGTGCCTCAGCATCTTGTGATCACCTAGACTCAGTGACGTCCTTCAGACGAGCTTACTGGGAAGTTCCGGTGCTCATTATTTCTGGAAATTGTTTGCTGGCCGTTTCTAAATCAAAATCATGGCGGTTTCCAGCTCTAGTGAAGAGGAGGACCGTCGGGAAGATAAGCGAGACCGGAAGAGAAGGAGCTTGAGCAAGGAGGATAAGCCTCGGAGCGAAAAGAAGGACAGGAAGGATCGCGAGCAGAAGCGTCGTAAGAGACGACGACGCGAATCCAGCGACTCCAGCGACTCCAGCGACGGCAGCGATGACAGCGGATTAGAAGCTTCAAGCAGTGGATACAGCAGCGACGAGAGCGAGATCAGCAGGAGGAAGAAACGGCGAGATAAAGAGGGGAAGAGTCGAAATAGGTGAGTGTCCGTTTTTGTCAAAGCTTCTTATTCCCATGGTGTCCCGAAATCCCACTCTTATGATGTTTCCGAGTTATTCCTTCCGCCCAGTCGTCCTTTTTTACCTTTTGTCTCTATATTTTCTCCTTTCAGGAGTCGTTCGAACAGCAGCAGCGATAGCGATGGATCGGAGGACAGATATTCCAGTGAAGACGACAGGAGTAAACGGAAGTCAAGATCGTCTAAGACATCCGGCAGCAAGGTATATTATCTTAATTGCTCTTGGGATGTCTTAATGTACCTTAATTCGCCCAGTATAAGTTTAGGTTAATGTAATTTGTCAATTGCCTCTGTGTGTCGTTAAGGGCTTACAACCTCGAGAAACTAGTATTTTCGTGATTTTCTTTGTTTCTTTGTTTGTTTGTTTTTTTACCAAGGATATCTTACACAGTACCTTTCCGTTGTACCATTTCTTGCTTCCTAATATAGTATCCCAATGTTCTGCTATTCTAAAGCTGCTTATACTGGTTCTTTTATTTTACGGGGTGACTGGACTGGATGGGGTTTGGGATGGGTGCGGTGTGGATGCAATGGAGTCGCTGGGATGCGTACGCGTGCACGGGAAGGATGAACGAGGAGGAACAGAAGAAGAGTAGCAGCCGTCGTGACCGTCGCCGATCCAGCAGGGACAGGCGGTCGGACAAGAAGGGCAAAAGCAAAAGGCGATCATCAGACAAGGTACTTAGTTGTGTTGAAGCTGTGTGAATACATGCCTATGTATCATGTATGTAGTTATGCCTTGCAAGCACGTCTTTTTGCCAAATGCTGCTAACCAATTTCTGTATTCAATTGAAGAACGGTTGTGTCAACTTGCTAACCTATCCCTGTTCTTTTCCCTTCTGTTCTGCATGCTGACCGTTTTCCTGTCCGTGTGTGTGTATGTGTGCTTGCATGTGCTTTTTTTGCATGCCCGTCTGGTGGGTGTTGGACGTGCATGCATGTCACATCCCCTGATCGTCTCTATACCATCTATAAATCTCTCCTCACTGGAGCTCCCATTGTGGCGCCATGTCACGTGGACCGTGTCACGTGCCATCATCCTGTCTACTTCTCGAGTGCAACTCCTTACGTCGACTGCTTTCGGCCCCGGAATTCGTCAACACAATCCTGCTAACTCTTGCTTGAGCTTCTACCCGGTTCACCGACCTGCTTCACCGCTGCAAATGTGTTCTTATTCTCCGTTCCTGTGTGGATTATCTTCATCTGAATGCACCCTTGCCCGTGTCGTTTTTGTTTCGTTGATGCACTAAATTGTTGTGTTCGTCTTCTCATTATTCAGAAGGGATCCAAATCTTCTGGTGAAGCAACACCGGGCCCAGTGCAGCTCTCACAGGTCAGTTTCTCTTGGAAATCATTTTTTTTGCTGGTTTGGGTGCGGCTATGATTTCCAGCAATACAAATATTAAACCTCCTGTTTTGGATATTGATTTTTTTTTTTTTTTCCCTGGTCCCACTGTTATCTTTTTCCTATCCCGCATTTTGTGTTCGTGACATCTTCTCCAAGTCATCTGAGGTTGAGCACTCATCGCTTTGCAATGTTCCTTTCCCTTCACTTCCTTTTTGCCGATTCTCCCCAGTTCCTTGGTCGTGACGATGGCTCCACACGCTACAGTGTCATATCTGGCAAGAAGGTACGTTAGTAACTGGACACATGAAGTTAACAGCTGAGCCGAGTGAATTAAGTTCTGAATTCATTAAGTAAAGCCAGTGGAGGCCAGTGGTTCCTTCCTTCTCAGCTTCACTTACATACATCATGACAAGCTTCGATCTGCTTGTTTGGTTTTCTTCAATTTGCCTCTTGTTCAGATTCGCATGAAGGTGGATAAGACAAAGGACGACAAGGTAGCTGAAGCCAATCGTTCTGAGCTGCTGCGCTTCCTGAATTCAAGCTACGACTAGGTAGAGGCTGAGTGCTGGTGTTCGCTTCTAAGTCTCTTGAAGTAAAGCCAGCCAATCTGAGCTGCTGTGCTTTTTGGACCACACTAGTAGCACCTTATGCTGTAAAATGGATCAAAATCACTTGACAGGTAGTCAACGAAAAAAAGTGTTATGGTAACCGTATCATAAAATACTCTAAGAAGGGGCAGAACCAGGGTAATGCAGGCTTAGGTTCCCATGTGGTAGTGTTGTTGGATGGTCTATGATTGCAGTAAGTGCTATAGTTTAGTTCCTACTTGCTTGTATGTTGTGGAAGTGTACCAAGTTCACCACCATCTGGAAAGGTAGTTTGTGGTACCTAAAAACACTGGCTCTTTCTAATCATAGCCAATACAACATTCCCACAGAACGACACTCTACCGTAGATGAGGCTAGCGACAACTGGCAACAGTGCCACGAAGCAAGCTGCTACTTGGATGAATCCAAGCACTATTTTGGAACATTCTTGCATCTCTGCTTGCTGCAGCAGTAGATGCATGCATCTGTACTTGCAGCTTCGCTCAAAAGGTAGGGAGATCTACTTGAAGCACTTGGCCTCCTGCAGCTTGAGCCCATCAACCTCATCGGGCTCCTCAAAGTAAGCATTCACACGCTCCTTCTGTGCCTCGTCACTCAGGTCTACCTGGAAAGCAACAAAGCAACGCACATCAGTGGGGAGCAGTGGAGAGGGGTGGAGTGCAATACAGCAGACACAAGTGTAAGTATGCATTCACACGCTCCTTCTGTGCCTCATTGCTCAGGTCCACCTGGAAAGCAACAAAGCAACGCACACAAGTGAAGTGTGGTGCGATACAGCAGGCATAAGGGAAACAGACCAGAGCAGAGAGGAGGAAGGTGCAGAAGAGAAGCGAAGGATGCATGGAATCACGGTATGAGAATTCTCGAAGGGGGATTGATTGGCCCTTGTGAAAGAACTTATGTTAGCAAGGGGAATGAGAGTAGCACGAAGGGATGAAAGTCAACAGGGTGCCTCAGCAGGTACCTAAAACAATCAGCTCTCTTCTCACATTGCTCCACTCATACAGCTCGCAGTCGTAGCACTCCTCCATGACAAACGGCGGCACCTCGCTCCCCTCTTCCTGCATCCCTCTCTCCCTCTCATTCTCCCACTATTCCGCTTCTCACCTTGCTCCACTCGTACAACTCGCAGTCGTAGCACTCCTCCATGACAAACGGCGGCACCTCGCTCCCGCGGAACAGCCACACGCCCTTGATGACAAACGGGCCCTCGTCCGGTCCCAGAATGCACATCTTGGCAAACGCGTACTTGCGCGCGAGGTCCATGCGCTGTAGGAACCCCGACACTTTGTTAAGCGTCACGAACTTGACCGTGTTCTCGTCGTTAAACTTGTAGTCGCAGAACCAGAGAGAATAGCCTTCCGCGTCAAACATTTCCCAGAAGCCTGAAAAAGCAGTGATAGAGCGTGGTACGGATGGATACAATGAGATGCAAAGAGTAACGAACTTGAACGGTGTTCTCGTCGTTAAACTTGTAATCGCAGAACCAGAAGGAATAGCCCTCTGCGTCGAACATCTCCCAGAAGCCTGAAAAAGCAGTGATAGAGCGTGGTACGGATGGATACGATGAGATGCAGAGGCGGGAAATGAGGGTGCTGGGTGGGAGTAGCCCTCCGCATCAAACATGTCTCAGAAGCCTGGTGTGAGGGGAAGGGGGAGGGAAGAATGGAGGGGGAAGGGGTGGGGGAAGAGTGGTGGCGGGGAGGCAGTGGATCCTGGGCAGGGATACTCTGCCTCGCACTGCCTCACGCCTCACCTTTAATAGCCACCTCTCTAAAGTCTTTTGCCTTGGTGTTGGAGTAAAGCCTCTTCCACGCATCCAGCACCATGGGGCTGGGCGGAAGCAGGTCAAGAGGGTTCTTTGCCTTGGGCTTCGGCGCCCCCTCCTCCCCCTCATGCACTGCCCGTGCTGCCTCAAACTGCCTCACATCTCACCTTTGATCGCCACTTCTCTAAAATTATTCGCCTTGGTGTTGGAATAGAGTCGCTTCCACGCATCCAGCACCATGGGGCTGGGCGGAAGCAGGTCCAGAGGGTTCTTCGCCTTGGGCTTGGGTGCCCCCTCCTCCCCTTCACCCCCTCCCGCTGCTGCCGCCGGTGCTGCTGCTGCTGCTGTGGGTGCTGCTGCTTTGTCGTCCTGTTTGGGCTTCATGAGCTTGAAGAGAGGCGAGTCCTCCCACTTGACGATTTCCGTGGGCACCTTGGCGATCTGAATGATGGGGGAGACAAAGAAGAAGGGGGGAAGGTTGGGAAGGACAGGAAGGGATAACGTTGGGTGCTGCTGTGTCGTCCTGCTTTGGCTTCGTGAGTTTGAAGAGGGGCGAGTCCTCCCACTTGACGATCTCTGTGGGTACCTTGGCGATCTGAGTGGGATGAGAGGAAAACGAAGGGGATGGGCAGAAAGGATGAGGGGAAGGAAGGAAAATATGGGAGAGTGAGTGCTCGTGCCTCTTGTCCTGTTTGGGCTTCATGAGCTTCAAGAGGGGAGAGTCCTTCCACTTGACGATCCCTGGGCACCTGGGCTTGGCAATCTCTGTGACAAGGGGGGAGAAAAAAGCATTGAACTGCTTCTGGTGAACCAGAGCGCTGCACGTGGGGGTAATACCTCTTCATACCTGCCAGCTAACCATGTTACCTCCTCCCTCCCCCCTCTTCCTCTCACCTGCTCCACTCCACGTCCCCAATGACTGCTTTGAACTACTTCTGGTGCACGAGAGCGAAGAAGTATTGCTGCACGTGGGGGTAATCCCTCCTCCTAGCACTTACCTACCTACCTAATTGCCCAGCCAGCTAACCATGTTAACCCCCAAACCCTCTCACCTGCTCCACGTCCCCGATCACAGCCTTGAACTGCTTCTGGTGAACCAGAGTGAAGAAGTATCGCTGCACGTGGGGGTAATCCCGCATGAACTACTCACAACCTGCCTACCTGCCAGCTAACCATGTTAACCCCCAAACCCTCTCACCTGCTCCACGTCCCCGATCACAGCCTTGAACTGCTTCTGGTGAACCAGAGTGAAGAAGTATCGCTGCACGTGGGGGTAATACCTCTTCATACCTGCCAGCTAACCATGTTACCTCCTCCCTCCCCCCTCTTCCTCTCACCTGCTCCACGTCCCCAATGACTGCTTTGAACTACTTCTGGTGCACGAGAGCGAAGAAGTATTGCTGCACGTGGGGGTAATCCCTCCTCCTAGCACTTACCTACCTACCTAACTGCCCAGCCAGCTAACCATGTTAACCCCCAAACCCTCTCACCTGCTCCACGTCCCCAATCACAGCCTTGAACTGCTTCTGGTGAACCAGAGTGAAGAAGTATCGCTGCACGTGGGGGTAATACCTCTTCATACCTGCCAGCTAACCATGTTACCTCCTCCCTCCCCTCTCTTCCTCTCACCTGCTCCACGTCCCCAATGACTGCTTTGAACTACTTCTGGTGCACGAGAGCGAAGAAGTATTGCTGCACGTGGGGGTAATCCCTCCTCCTAGCACTTACCTACCTACCTAATTGCCCAGCCAGCTAACCATGTTAACCCCCAAACCCTCTCACCTGCTCCACGTCCCCGATCACAGCCTTGAACTGCTTCTGGTGAACCAGAGTGAAGAAGTAGCGCTGCACGTGGGGGTAATCCCGCATGAACTCCTCGCTCCACAGGCCCCGGATGGGTGACGTCAGCACCGACACTGTGATGATGTCAGCGAGCGTCACCCGCTCCCCCACCAGGTACGTGTGGTCGGCGAGGTGCGAATTCAGTGCTGCGAGTCCTCGCTTGGCGTTCACAATCGCCTTCTCCTCCACCTGGCAGGGAGGTTTGGGGAAAGGGGAGTGGGAATGTTAGAAGGACGTGGGAGGAGCACCAGGTAGGTGTGGTCGGCGAGGTGGGAGTTCAGTGCTGCGAGTCCCCTCTTGGCGTTCACAATCACCTTCTCCTCCACCTGACAACAAGGAAAAGAAGGGTTGAAGGGGATATCAGAGGGACATGACACGAGTTGCTCCCCCACCCCACCAGGAAGGTGTGGTTGGCGACGTGGGAGTTGAGTGCTGCGAGTCCCCTCTTGGCGTTCACTATCGCCTTCTCCTCCACCTGGCAACAAGGAAAAGAAGGGTTGAAGGGGATATCAGAGGGACATGACACGAGTTGCTCCCCCACCCCACCAGGAAGGTGTGGTTGGCGACGTGGGAGTTGAGTGCTGCGAGTCCCCTCTTGGCGTTCACTATCGCCTTCTCCTCCACCTGGCAAGGGAGCAACAAGGGTTGGTTGGAGGGAAGAATGGTAGGAGGGGATCAGAATGACATGATGTCACCCGCTCCCCCACCAGGTAGGTGTGTGGTCGGCGAAGTGCGAGTTCAGAGCCGCCAGGCCTCTCTTGGCGTTCACTATCGCCTTCTCCTCCACCTGGCAAGGCCCACGGGGTAACAAAGGTTGGTCGGAGGGATCAGACGGACATGACACGAGCTGCTCCCCCACCAGGTAGGTGTGTGGTCGGCGAGATGCGAGTTCAGAGCCGCCAGGCCCCTCTTGGCGTTCACAATCGCCTTCTCCTCCACCTGACAAGGGGGAAAAAGAGTTGGAGGGAATGGGAAGGACAAGGGGTAACAAAGGGTTGGTTGAAGGAGGTATCAGAAGGTGTGGTCACCCGCTCGCCCACCAGGTAGGGGTGGTTGGCGAGATGACTTTTGAGTCGACTCAAAAGTCACGTCTGTCGTGGCGTATCCAATATCAATGAATTTTGAGCAAAAGGTACATCTGTCGTGGCATATCCAATATCGCTTCCATTCCATCCCAACATTACCCTTCCTTAATCTGAAATGCACATTTGGTGTCTCAAAAGGGACAACACCCTCTTGCGACACGAAATCAAAAGTAATCTACCAAACTACGTACTATCCTCCCTGCCTGCCTTACTCCTTCATTCTGTATTCATACTGCTTCGCTTATCTC